ATTTCTGATCAATATAATTAGCGTTTTTAATTGGGACACCCTGTATATTGTTAAAGATTAGGATTAGGATTCAATGAAGAAGCATTTAAAAACCGACTTTCTACTGAAACCAAGCATATTAATCTCAAAAGTAACAAGTTTAATTTAATTAATAAATAATTTTAGAAATTATTAAAATAGGGGTTCAACATGTTGCCCATTCTTTTATTTCGTATTTCATCAAGTTGACATTTTTCTAAATTTTATAGAAAATAGTTCATTTTGCTGAATTATTTATAAAAAATTTACTTTATCTATTTATTTTTGCTCTTTCCCTACTTCAGCTAAAATTATTCCTATAATTGTTCCAATTATAATCAATTTGGGTGTTTAATATTTTGGTAATCATATGTTTAAACTGAATTGAATGAAAGTTTGAGACTTGATTGAAGCAAAACATTATTTTTTACTTTTCTTAGGCAGAGAAACGTGATACATATGAAAGATATAATAAAAAAGGTTATAAGACAAGAAAATGAACTAGAGTAGCATAGCATAGTTGAAGGATAAAGGAGAATTTCTACTTTACATACTTTTGCTCAAATATACCATAACTTATCTGCTGAAACTAGATTCAAGTGATAGGAAAGACCAAAAAACATGAAAATTAAATGATCTGCATTCTGCAGGTAAATTTGTCCTTTATTTGATAACTGCATTCAAATCCCTTACCGTTTAATTTTGGATCGTCCGAAAATCTGCATTCTTTCTGTGTCTAAAATTTAATTTAATGAAAAGATAGAGTTAAATTTAAACAAAATGATAAATGCTTTCGTTAAAAAATTGTTTGGACCAACAATTCATTCAAGAAAAGGATCGTTTTCGATTTGGTTCGCAAATGGTTTGGACGTTTGGAACAAGACGCACACTTTTATGCAATATTTTAGATGGACGAGTCTTTTTTCTCAAGATCAGGCATTTTTAATAGAAAAAAATGTGTACTGTTTACAAATTTCAGGAAAATTAAACGTTCGTTCGGTCGATCAGTCAACATTTGGAGCCTGGATTGGAAGGTTTGGCCAGCAAATAGCCCAGATTTAGACATGTTAGATTCGTTATTTTGCGGGTTTTTCAAAAGGAACATGAAAAGCTTCCGACGGCGAATAGGATTAGGAAAATACAATCTGAAAAAATAGAAATATTAAATGAAAGAAGTAAAAGCATAATTTTAGCGTCAATAGAGAAATGAACACGAATCTGTAGACTATGCATTCAAGAATTTTTTTATTTAAACTAGAGATTAAAATGGTTAGCTTCAAGAGAAATTCGATTTTTCTTTCATTTTAGCTCAGAAACAGTTGAACTTAGTCAGCGGAAATATTATATGAGATCTACGCATAATTTGACGTAAAATTCAATCCTGTAATGTTCCATAATTCCATTACAAAAATCATAAGTTTGGTCTGGATGCGTTTCGGAAAAACCTTGCATCCATTTTGAATTCTGTAAAAAAACGAGAAAAAAATCCCACAAATTGCTGTAAAAATACACTTTTCCATCAGTGAAAATAACAATAGTAAAAACGAATTTAAAACGAATAACTACGGGGTTAAGAAATTGTATTCCCCCACGGTCTGAGTTAAGTCTAAGGAGCCAATAAAAACTCAGAACATTCAAAGTGTTTTTTTCCGTATGTACCTACAGTTTCGAATTAAAGAAAATATTTTCGGCCTAGAAAATTTTGCAGTAAAAAATAACATTCCTCTGGTAAACAGAATGTAATCAATCGAAAACACCGATAAAAGATTCAAACACCCCATTTCTTGGCACAACAACTACCATTTACATGATGCAACACTGCACGCTAATTGCCATTGCCAGAAGTATAAATACAAAGAAACCATCCAGACAAATTATCAAACGGTGTTTGAGCATCCACAGAATCCGATCACATCCAACAGCCGCAACATGAGGGCTTTCGCTTTTCTAACTTTGATTGCATTTGCCAGCGCCATGACTGGGGATTTTCGCCCAAACTGGTCCAAAACCCTTCTGGATCAGCAAATTCAACGTCAATTGTTCGAAAATCAAGTGCGCCGTTCTGATTTTGAAGGACTGGAAAGACAATATGGTAAGCAAACTGTTGCCCAAGAGCTGTGCGACCGTGTCACCCAATTGGTTCAGAACTTGGCACGAGAAAATGCTTCCGGAGACGTTCTGTCGGTTGCACAAAGAGTAGCCGATGGAATCAAACGACTAATCCTGGAAGCTAAGCAAACCAAAATCACTGAAACCATAGAGAAACTGCAAAGCCAGCAATGGAAAGGCCAACTTTCAGGAGGATTTCAAGGAATTAGAACCGCAGCCGCTATTAGAGCTATTGAACACCTGCGAGAAAAATTGCAGAAAACTGAACAAGAGAAACAAACAGTTGTAACCAGCTCCCTGGAAAACCTGAGAAAAACCCTCCAGGTGGTTATTGAAACTCAACTCACTGCGGAAAGGTGCCAAAAGAGTCTAACCGGCGTGACCCAGCTGAGCAACATTGTTGACCGAAAACTCATCTCTGGCGCTACAGAATTAACTCCCACGGGCTTTTTAGCGAAAATCCAAAAGCTCGTCATTCAATTCTGCATTCAGGACATTCAAAAGTGAGTAACGCCGTTTAATAATAAACCAACTTGATGCTCAATCTTTTAATATTCGCAGGGAGATCGCCCATGTTCAACAGTCGATCCCACAGGTGCAGCAGCAACAACAATTGGTGAGCGAACAACGATGCGCAATTCAATTGCAAGTCGTCGTTTTGCAACAACGAGGTGACATCGAGTTGGCTCAGCGTCTTCAGAGCACCGAAGAGCAACTTGCCCGCAAAGAAGAGGAACTGGTGGAGCAACAAGTCGCCTGCAGCGTGATAGCTGAGAACCTCCAAGAAGCCGCCACTGAGAACGAGCTGCAACTTCAGAAGGAAACCGTGATCGAACAAGTGGAAAGACGCGCGCTTACTGGCAGGAGTGGAAGATTATATTAAAAAGCGCGATGAAATGTGAATTAACCCGTGACTTTTGTTGTTGTAATTATTAATTATCAATAAACGCAGATGAGCATAAATAAGGATGTTTTAAACCTTGTCACAGACTGCATTGCCGCCTAGGTAAGCTGCAAACTCTATAAATCTACGAAATCCAATTGAAAGTGAATAATGATGTTCCATTGGCGCTGTATATTAGTGGAAAAGAGCCTATTTTATTCGCCACCAATTTGCTATGAGAAGTCTCTGACCCATTAAATTGATAACAGGATGTTTTCATAATATTAGTCAATCTTTAACAGTTGTTATTAAACATTATCATTTAGCTAATTGATTATTAGTAATGCGAAATGGTTTATTAATTGAACTCATTCCTCTTTTGAATACGAAAAATTAACCAAGCATTTTTTCCACCAGCTACATTTTTCACCTTTGTAGCTGGCTTGTTGAAGTTGCGATTTTCACTCAAAATCGCGTTGACAAAATCAAAATTCACAGTGAATGATTCAAAATGAGTGCGTTTTTCAGCTTGCTAATACAAGGCTTCGGCACTATCCAGGCTAAAAAGCTATGGGTCAGAACATTCTCCGCAGGCCATGGTTCAATGAAAGTTACAGTAGTGGGAGCAGCAGGTAGAAAACCGAGTTTTTTTAAGAAATTTAACTTTTGAGGCATAAGTCTATTTTCAAAAAGTAGCAATCAATTAATCCCTTCCAGTAAATCTGCGGTCTGATGGTAAAAAGTTCAAAGTATTTTACATGCTAAAGAAATTCTTATTTACGATAGAATAGTGATGAAGTGAAAAGCAATTTTACGCAATCCAAAGAAATTAAATTAGCAAATCTTCAGTTTGCTTTGCTAAAATTGTTGAATTGAATCTGATTTCGAATTCATAAGGAAAATTATTTCTAACTTGTGCGCCTATGGAAACGTTGAACGATCAACATTTGTTAGTTTAACAGTTTCCACGTTTAACAGTTTAACGGTCCAAAGGACTTTTCCTTATTCATGTGGATATAAGCAGAACAAATAGGAAAACAATTTAGGATGCTTAATCTAAAAATTGATGAAAAAGTGAAAGAAAGAAGCAAATCAAATCAAGTGATCAAAAATCTATCTAGAAAAGTGTAGACATTTTCGACCAAAAAATTGGAATAATTTTGCTGTTGAAAACAAGAACAGAAGTAACAACAATGACTTCAATTGTGAAAAGTTGTTACAGCCGAAATCTGTTTCGGTTATTCCTCTGAGATCCCCCCAAAACATATTAAATAATATGACGCCAATAGAGTGATAAAGTTTGAGCTAAAAGCTGATAATGATAGCGAAATCGAAACAATTCCAGCTGTAAACGCGCGTTTTTTAACGGTTGTGCGATTGGAACCAGAAGAATCACAAAATCTACGAATTCAGTGAAGAAATTCACTTGATTTGCCAAGAAAATGGGTCAGGGGAAGTTTCTTTAGTTCTTTGATTTGGATTCAATGATGTTATTGCTTTTTAACATCTAGTACAAAAAGTGCAATTTACTTACAAACGAATTTTTTCTGAAAAGATATGAAATTTAAAAAAATCTGTGAAACCCAATCCAAAATCCTGAAACTTTTTCGTCGTTTCTCCACGAATAAAATTCACATTCATAAATACAAGCTTTATTTTAAAAGCAACTTCATTTGGCTTTCGAAAAACTAAACTCAGTTTAAACTACGGGATTTGTGGATTACACGTCAATCCTCTCAGCTTTCCGCAATCTGGCGCCCCATCCTCCATGTCCATTAATCTTTAAAAAGTCCACACTACACTGAACACACAGTAAAAATCCACTCCGAATACAAAACTTTAATATTGCAGTTTGCATTTGAGCTTGATATTTTGTGTAAATTCAAGCTAATCCATAATTTATGAATACTTCTTAGCTCGCATTATTATCAGCTACGGAATTCTTTGCTTGAGTTTGACAAGATTCTTCCGAGCAGGCTTTTTCACGAAAATTTTTACATTTGAAGCTTGATTTGTTGAGTCCGGTCTACTTAAATCGCAGATCCGGATTGAAGCGGTACCATGGTTTGTGATTGCTTTCCTTTGCCCTCAGCTCAAAAGCGACGGAAAACTTAACTTAAAACTGACTAACACGCGCTCACCTAACTATGACTCTTTTGTTACATTTTTGTAAAACTTTGGACTTTATAGCTCGATTTGTAGTTAAAAGAATTCCAAAATAGGAGATTCATACTCAGTCCAGATCATAACTTGGGAATTTTTCACGTTGCTCACATAGAATTCCTAAGGTTTAAATATTAAATACTTCCTTATGGCAAAAATGCCTTTATTTTAAAATTATTACTCTTAGGGGATTTCAATTGGAAAAAAGATGCTTGGCTGTTTTCTCCATTTCAATTTTGAATTTATTTTTAAAACTCTGTATTAACAGAATTCAAATTGCTATAAAAAGTATAGCAAAGTAAGTGTTTCTCAACAATAACTCGGTCTCAAAATAAATAACAGCTCAAATTTTAATAATAATTTTGCTGCCTGCAATTTTTATTTGTACTCAACTTACTAAAATATTTCAGATCGCTTGCACTAAAAGCATTGTGTTAATTATTGTTTAAATTGCTTGAGAAAGGCCTGAATAAAGTCGAGCCGAAGAAAGCCCGAAGAAAGTCGAAACATCGGCGATTTTTAGAGAATAAAACTAGTTTTTAATCCAGCCCCAACCCGCTTTCCAAAAACCCTTATTGTGAATATCAGGTAAAATTGGGCAGCCGCTCTGTCTGATGCTGAAGCAGTCGCCCCTCATCGATGAGCTGTGCATTCACGACCTCAAACCCACCACAGGATTGGGACTGGAGCTCAACCACATCGATACCAAGTGCAAAGTTTCGGCCTTTTCCGGCAAGGACAATCTTCAGTTGGCGCTGCAGCACTCGAAAATCGTTGCTCTGATGGCTGGAGCCCCTGGGGCAGACGCCCTCCCTTACGACAAGATGTGGGAGCCCAACTCGTTAGTAGTCAAAGAAATTATGGGCGAAGTTGCTAGGATCTGCCCCAAGGTACTATTCTAGGTTGCAGCTGAGATTATCGGTTTTGCTAGAGTCCGGAGTGTTATTTTAGGCGCTGGTGGCAATTGGGACGAACCCAGTTAACAGCCTTGTGCCAATGGCGTGCGAGGTTCTGAAGAAAAGCGGATCCTACAACCCCAATGGAATATTCGGCATCACTGCCTTAGATTCGGTCAGGGCCAATACTTTCGTAGCGCATGTTCAGGGTGTGGAACCGGAATGCGTGATGGTTCCAGTGGTTGGAGGTCATTCTTCAGAGACGATTATTCCCGTTCTGTCCCAAGCCAAACCATGTGCAGAATTTTCCAATGTACTGCCATTTGCTCAACGCTGTTTGTTTTAGTTTGGCCTTCTTTCTCAAATCATTTCAGGCGGAGATTGAAAACATCACAGCCAGCATAAGAAACGCCCAAGGAAACATCGCCAAACTGAAAGCCAACGAGAGTGGGCAACTGGCCAGCGCTTTTGCTGCGGCCCGTTTCATAATTTCGCTGGTGAAAGCCCTTCAAGGTTCCTATTTCGGGCCACCCCACGCACCTGTCCAGACTGGTTTCTTTTCTAGGCTATCCAGATATTGTGGAGTCGGCCTTTGTCAACTCCAAGGTGCATCCGTTTCTCAAGTATCTCGCCACCCCGTTGCTGCTCGGCCCTCTGGGAGTAACGAAGAACTTCGGCCTGCCCAAGCTGAGCGACTTCGAGCAGTGCATGTTCGACAATGCGGTTCCCATTTTGGCCAACGACATCAAGAAAGGTGCAGCTAATGTTTGAATGGTTTTTCGTTGCTAACTTATATGTCCATCAGGTGAGAAATCAGTGGGCGTGTTCGATCCGCCTCCTCCTTGCGACCCTTGCGCCCCACCACGAGTTACTCCTTGCCCACACGACTGGTGTGAGACGAAGAATTGACCAATCAATATCAGCAATTTTAGTTTAGAAGTGTTGTATTGGTCAGTGATAGTCGTCTTGATTTAGAGCTAAATGAACATGTGCATGAATTTCACCCTGCGGGTGCTATAAAACCACGGCCAATTTACATAGTGAGTGTTAGATATGCACATTAAATGCTTACTCCAGCTACTCCTGCCTTTTTCAACTTTGGAAGCCCGGAAATGAAGCATCGTTTGATACTATTCAAATAATATATTGAACCATTAAAAAATCGGTATTAGCCAGTTTTTCTAGGATGCGCTTTTCATCGGTTTGCCGATTTACACCTGTATCATTTGCGGCATCATCATCATTGGCGACATTCGCATCATGGACATGGACTGGAAGTCCAGCTTTTCGATTTTCAGCTTCTGGATCAACTCGCGTTGGGTCATCATCATTCGCTGCAGACTGTTAATCACCATTTGGTGGGACAGATGAACAACGGTGAGATCTTCCAGAGTTTTGAGCAGCTCTTGTCCAATCTCCACCTGGGTGTTTAGCGTGGTCTTCATCATCATCATCGTGTACATTTGGAGCATTCGCTTTTGCTGTTCTAGCAGTTTGATTGTGATTTGGACTTGGCTGGCTCTCATCGAGATATCGGCCAGAATGCTTAAAGAACATTAAGAAAGATTAAAAAGGCTTAATGTTTGGCTTGTGGCAGCAGTTGAGGCTTACCGTTGGGTTCTCACCATATCGATGGACAAGATCATTTCCAGGATTTCATTGCGGAAGTCTTTGTCCATTACCAGCCCGGAGTCTTGCATCAGCATCTGGCTCAGAATGGTTGCACTCAGAACGTCCCTCATTTGCTCCACGTCCTCCGGTTCTTCACGTCCCACTCTCATGGAGATTTCTGATAAGATTTCCTCAGCTCCATGCTACATTAAAGTCTCTTACTAGTCATATATTTTAGTTTATCAAGCTTTTACCTTTGCAAGAAAGCGTAGACGTGAGGGCACAGACTCAGAAACCATCATGACTCCAGACTTTCGGACTTCGTCGATGTGCATGTTCATGCGTGTTTCGGATAGCTGACGGTACATTTGGGTGAGTTGTTCAGCGATCTGCATAGCATGGTTCCTCTTTTGTTCAACAGGCATAACCATGTCTGTTTACATAAATAATGTAAAAAAAATTACATTGATTTTCGCCATTATCGGTTACATATTGAAAGTGATCGAATTTTGACTTTGTTTTAGAGTTTTAGCTCAGAGCGATTACAACTTTACCGAGTAAAAATTCCATTGATTGTATGCTTTTTCCATAATAATTGACTCTACATAAAACATGGTCATACCGGTTCTTTCCATCATTTGGTCCATTTTCTCTATCAGTTGCTGCTGGATCATTTTGAAGTCCTCGTCGTTCATCAGGTCAGTATTCATTTGGCCCATAATTTGCCTCTTACAAAGAGTTTTGCAAAGTCCAGATTGGCCCATCGTGGTCGACACTGAATCGTTCCTGTTAGCTGACTTAGTCCTGATTTATAAATACACTCACCGTCATCATTATTCCGGAACATTCGTGGAAAGAACATATCATACTTGGAAGTCATCATGGAAGAATTGGCGAGCGCCAGGGCCGCCACTACCAAAACTAAAACTTTCATTTTTTCGGGAATTCGAATATTTCTTTGCTGCAAAGCTGAGGTGCATTGAGAGCATTAAACAAAATCCCGCTTTTATATGAGCTTTATCAGGTATTGAGTTGTTTTTCTGGCCAAATTTACGAGATACAAAGTGGTTATCGGTTCAGTGCAGCAGGTCAGCTAAATATTTGCCTAATTAATTGTATTAGATGCAAATTAAGAATCTATGAATAGCAAATATGTGGGAGTTTTTCAATRTTTATCAACCAATTTACTTTTTACTATKATAACTCAAAATACTCACACATTATCATATTTACTAATTGATTTTCTGTTTTGCTGTATTAGSATTTGRAAGAATCTGCSAAARGAATGGTTTTATTAATTAACTTTTCTAYTTGGGTTTTAAGATTMATAAATGCGTTGGATCATAGAWTCATCAGWAGACGCAGATATGGAATAAATGAGAAGAAACCGATACTCGTGTTAGCAAAATCCGTAKGATTTTTCATCAACTTGCAATCGTAGMGTTGCATAAAAAAAWTACAAAAATTGTAATKTTACAATTCTMACAACAAGAATGAAATAATAATATTCAAGTACTATAAGAGTATCAGGRAATTAAATWTATATGAAAATTAATTAATGTTCAATAATCTATATTTMCAGCAGAGACCCGGAYCGTAACCSGTATTTTTTTTCGTGAACCGGAACCGAAACTGAASCCATATTTYATGTCAACACACTCTTCAGRGCTGAACCGAAACCGAAAAATTKTAGTTCGRTTTTTYTTCGGTTCAGCTTRTTATGTTTGAAAGAAATTAATACTTGGGTTTCTGAGGATTGCTATTTCTAGGAAATTTYCCCCTCCGATAACAAATCACAAAGATGATGACRCGATCTTTGCTGGTATGTTTTTGGACCCTCGGTCTAAGGTAGTTATAGAYGACAATCARGTAGAAGAGCAAAAGCACATTTAAGGTTGATATGGACTAGACTGATGTTCTTAAAWAAGTGCATTTTTTCCATTCAAAATGACCCTGACCAACACAGTATCAAAACAAAGCCATCTGGTCCTTTATTAAGCGATGAAATGGGAAGCCTTTTTATGGCATACAGATTCAGAGCAAAACGTTTCAAAATGAATTTATCAGCACGAATTTTCTTCGAAAAAAATTGAACTTATTTTAAGTTCCTTTAAAGTGGAACAAGAAACAATAAAAAGCTCAGTATAAAGCGTTAGAACCATCAACCATTTCATCTTCTCATCCGGCTATCAACCTTGTATCGTCCGCATATCTCAGCTTTGTTATATTTATGCTCACAACCGAGATTTCTCCATTTCATCATCCAATCCTTTCCTCCCCATGTACTCTTCATAGAAGTTAAGAAATCTGAATAGAGGGTGCTTTCATGGAAAACGGCCCTACAAGTTTAAGCAAAAAGGTGTACCGTTCCTCCATTTTTACTTTTGCCATGTTGTTCTCGCAAAGGTTACTTATCAGTGTAATTAGGTGCTCAGGTGCTCTCATCTCGCAAAGAACCTTCCAATTTTCCAGTTGATACAGTCAAAAGACTTTTGAAATAGGGAATATATAATGTACTTTCCTTTGCTGACTGCAAAGTTCACCTGTTATTTCGTCGCATCCTAAAGATTTTTATTTACTTTTAAATTTGGGTTATTTCTTTTCCGTATTGATTAAAGTAGATTTCATAAAAGAAAACTTGCAGAACCAGCAAAAAGCAGCCATTTTACCTTTTTTGTAATACTTCAAATAATTATTCTCATTCACTTAGGAGATTTCCTCCTTAAGAGCCATTTTCTCTCAAAGTTGAAAAAATATGTCGAAAACCTGAGGAAATTTAATGTACCACAAATATTCTTGTTACTGTTTACTACATTTGATTGAAAAAGTGTGTTAATTGCAAACATACACGACATTATTTGATCCGCATCCTCATCATCTGAATACATTTATTTTTGTAAAATCCTTCTTGTTTCAACTTGGATTATTAGGGATTCATATATGAAGTAATTGCTATTTTCGCAATCTCTTGGCATTTAGGAATGAAAAAGGTGATTAAGTCTTATTACCGAGTCCTAAGTATCCAAGTGATATTTAAGTCCTTAGTTCCTTAATTTTCTTCTACGGCATATTCAGGAAATTGACGCCAATTTGTAATCACTATGGTGCTTATTTATTAGAATTTTGAATTTTCTGCTCAAATGATAAGTAAATATTAAAATAAACAGCAATTCTTTCAACTCCCATTAGCAACGACATAGTCCGATTAAAAACGGTGTTTTTACCACGACAATCAATATTATGAGCCTAAGTTTGCGTTATCGGAGACTATTTTTAATTGTTTCCACATTTATTTGCTAACGAGCACTAAGTATTAATTATTAAACAAAACAAAATGTCCGGATCCCCAATGGTAACAGCCCATAGCAAAACAGTATAACGGCGTTTGTCCACAATTTGCATCATTAAATGATAAATTAATAAATATCGAATGTTTATTAATTATATTTATTAACAGGGTCATAGGCGAGGAACTTAACAATAACTGAACAAATCTGGACATTTCCATTAGGGTTAGCTACATTTTCGATTTTCCAGAGATGATAACAATACACAATCCACTAATAAACTTATAGTGAAACTATTTGGAGAAATCCAGTAATTTATGATTCAGATTTCGAAAAAAAGCCTGAATTCCACTCAAACGGTTTCGACATTGAGTCATTTAATTTATTTTTGAAAATGAATATGGTGCATTTTAGTCATTCGGCGTGATTCCAAGCATTTTTCACCACCATAAACGCCCAATTCTAAAATTATTAGGAACCACGGGCATGTCCAAAAATAAGTTATTAATAGTCCAATTAATCTAGTTTAAAGTGTGCAATATAGGAAATAATTCACGTTTCTGTAAATATCTCTAAGCCGACTAGTTGGGTAATGAATTTTGAAAGTTTTTACGCCAATTAACATTACAATTTTATAAAATACATTGCGTGATTAGGCGCTCCAACCGATGTGTATAAACTTTGAACTCAAATCTACCGGCAGATTCAATTGTTGGAAATAAAACTTTTGGTATTTTACAGGATGAATTATACGGTTTGATGAAGTCCTATGCTTAGATTCTTAATGTTTTGTATTGGAAATGTGTACCTTTATACATTAAAACCAAGTAAATGTTCAAGCCTTTAAATTTAAGTGTATTGAAACAGATAATAGCAAAAATTTCTTCTGGTTTTAAATGTACAAAGTGACTTCCTGTTGCCAGTGGGGGCTAGTGGATAAAAACTTCAATAAAACGAGTTTCTAATTTAATTAAATATTATAAATAATGCAGACTGCAAGCAAAGTTGCACGCAAACAAACACTTATTTAAAAATGACTGGATTTGTGAATGCAAAACATATTGTTTACTATTTGGTATTTGGATCAAAGCACTTGAGTTTGAATGCAAAACTCTTGAGAAAACTAATCAGTCTTCATTTTTGGAACAAGCCACAACCAAGGATGTTGCTGCAAAATATCAAACAGTTATTTTAAATATTTTCACAATGGTGCCAACTGGTTCCGGGACTATTTAATTCCTGAAAGATGTGATTAAAAAACATTTAATAAAACAAAGTTTTAGTAGATAACCGTTGTAGATTAATTAATCGCGCGATCCATTAAGCGCCCAACATGCAGGCGCTCAAGCATTAATTTTAAAATCATCCTTTTGCTCACTATGCACATTGTCATGCTTACCACAAATTCGATTATATCCTAAGCTGTTTCCGCAATTAATGGGTAATTTTTTGAAATTAAGTAGGTTTTTTAATAATCCACCCCATCGAATTGTTGCGCGAGCGTCCTTTTGTCGTTAGCGTATGGTTTTTTGGCAAAATAGGTGAACTCAAAAACTGCATTAATGGTTGAAACGGGTGAAATACCCTTTAAGAGAAAAAGAGGCCAAAAATCGACATTTTCGTAAATTGAAGTAGTTCGTCGCAATTGCAATAATATGCACCCATTGCCAAAGTAGGCGACTGTTGGTAATGAACCTGGTTATTTCAGCTGGTTAAACAGATATCTCATGTTTTATGGGTTTTAAATATCGAGCACGATTAACCAACGGTCTTTCTAAGGTGAGCAAATCCACTTGTTACAATTGCGGTCGGGTTACATTTGCCCTCTTTTCAACTATCTGAAAGTCATAGATACGGAATATCTGCATACGTTGCACAGAATATGCGATTTCCGTTTGGCGGTTTCCACTGAAACGGTTCCGAAATGTTTGGAGGGTTCCAGCAAGATGTGCAGTGGAGCAAAAAAATCATCAACTAACACCGCAATTTGGAAAAACAGTAAGAAGTTGAACAATCACCGAAAACCTGGTGATTCATTAGGTTTACCAGATCGGCTGTTTGAGAAAATGCGGTTTTTAATGGGGAAATGTGGCATTGAACTGGCTACAATCAATGGAGATGGATTTTTCATTTTCATCAAAAAGTCTCAAATCAAAAAAATTGCAGTCATTCCAGCTCAATGACTTGTAAAATTTGGAAGCCTCCCTAAAAAATTTGACTGCATCCTATGAATTACCCACATGCATATAACCAAAGTCGAAAATCCGGTGCATTTGTGACATTGCGCAACTATTTGCACCAGGAAGAGTAGATGAAACTGGGCCAGTTGCGAAAAACCGACAAACCATAGATATTGAAAATGGAAAATCTATAGAAATGGTGTAATTTGATGAATTTCCTCAACCAAACCAACGCGTGTATCCTCCCCTATTTATGCGAACACATATGTACTAAAGCATGTCGACTGTAACAGTTCCCGACTGGGTTTATTACAAGTCCAGTGGCTCTTTGTCTAAAGCAAAACTGTAATTTTTTATATTATATAATAAAAAAACAAACCGATTAACCAACCGTAAAAAATAGGCACTTTAGAAACTTATAATAATGTTCAAGCCAATTGGTAAAACAGTATCGTTGGCTGAGACAGTATGTCCAATGCTGTCGTTTAAGGTGTTCGATTCTTAAGAGAGACGGTTGAAAAAATGTTTGATCATTTCCAAATCGATATGTTACGGTTGGTAGTTTTAAGTTTTTTTCTCAGTTCCTATTGGACAAGGTAGGTCGGAGCTTTTATTTACTTGGTCACTTTTTCAATATCACCATAGGTTTGACGAAAAACCCCATCACTGACTGGACTTGTTCGGTAGATAGGCAATGGTTACATTAGCTTGTTTCGGCCACTTTCACAATTTAAATTAAGAATTTTCGTCGGTCTTTTCGTTTATTAAGGAAGTGAAGGTTGGCACAGACTATCGCCAGCCAGTGCAAAACGAACTACTACTAACCAATTGCAATAAGCTAACTTCGCGAACTAAAAATCTAACTAGTGAGGACTGAAGAACTCCAGTCCTGATCAGGATGAAATTACCAAATAATAACACCATGTAGGCAAAAATTTAATAAACTGCCAGAATCACGTGGATTATTTGGTAAAAAACCAGACCAGCAGATAAAAGCCCAGAGCGGTTTGAAAAACTGGCTTTCAATGAGCCTGTTGCAGTTGCAGATATTGAATTCTTGACATCCGGTACAGAGCAATTAATATAAATCGATTATAAGGTGAATATTGAAAAAACACACGTACGATACGGTTGATTGCGTTTTGAACAAACGTATTTAAACTTGAGTGTGGCAACGGCGAATTTCAAATAAATTAGTAATTAATGTCGACAGGTATAAATAAAACGATACCTGTCGAAACACGGTAGCATTTCTGCGAAGAAATCTACCAATGACGACGACAACAAACAAAGAAAATAAACCAGTTCGCTGCATACAGTGTGAGTCTCTAGTTTGGGATAAATTGAGCAAAAGAATGCAGGTTTTTGCTTGGAAAATTGGTTCTAACACATCGAATATGTGTTTGAAATCGTGCGCTAATGTACGAAAAATGTACATTCGAAATGTATCCATTGTTTTATTAAATTTGTATTTCCTATCGTTTAAAGGATATTTGATATCAACTGATTCGAAACTAGAAGAAATCTGATTCAACTGAATAACATGTCTTCAAAAAAAAAGTTTATTTATTGGTAAACTGATAATGTCCTAAACAAAACTGAAACTTCTTTTGAACGTTTTTAAGTACTTCAAAATAAACTCCTTTTGAATTCGTTCTTGCAGCTTCTGAATGTTTACCGGTTTATAATTAAACACTTTTCACAAGAAATCGTGCATGGATGTTAAATCCGGAGAGCTGGGAGGCCATTCAAACACCCTCTTCCATCAATTGATCTTGTGCATACCAGACATTTCTGTGTAGCACTGAGTAACCAAATTTGGAACTAGTTTGTCCTGCTGAAACTCAAAATTATCCGCTCCATTTTGACGATTTAGGAAAAAAATATGTGCTATTTCTCGATCGCCAACGATTCCGAACAAAACAATAATTTTTCTTGGATATCGAGCAGGGTCTTTCCTCATTTAGTGTCGATTTTTGTGTGCTCCATTTAACCATAAACGTTGATTCGTCGGAAAACAGTGTCTATTTTTCAATGTTTACATGCCTGTCTAGTAGATTTATCAGTCATTCGTAAAACTAGAGTTTTTCTTCCGGGTCATCTTGAGATCTGCCTAGATCATTGCCTAGACTCATGATTAATTTTTCTTAAATAACCATTTTTTCGAAACAGCGGTTTCACTCTTGCTTATGGATTCGGAATTTTCGATATGGGCGGTAAATCAGGATACTTTCTCGATGAATAATTCATATTTTGGGTTTTCCCCCCATTTCCGAAGCCAAACCATTTGCCAAACTTTTAATCCCTTGAGTATCAGTTAAGTTATTGCTTTCTCGCAAAACGTCAAACTAATATGAATTTGGAACACGGTGTATACAATTTTCTTGCATCAAAATGAGCGCAATTCAGAAAACTAATTGATGTATTCGAGCATATTTTTTCCAAGTTGGAGACTCGCATAATTGAACGCTCCTGTGGAAGCTGTTTTGACTAGACGCGAAGCCTGCTTATTGCTATTTACAGCCTATAAAGTTTTGCAACAAACAATTACACACATGAATCTTTAAGCCATTGTAATTATTTTATGCAATTTCCAACAAAACGCTTTTATTATTGAATTTGGCACGTTTTTTTTTAATTTAGTGTTAAATCGCAAAACGCAACTCACGCGGCCAACTTCGACTCGCCATCGGTTTTCCAAGTCACTCAGCCTGTGGACCATTCCGAAGGGCCCATATGGGATGGTGAGCTAAGATTATGATTCATCTAAGTAATAAAAATCATTAACCGCACGCTAAATTGCAGGCAGAAAAAGCATCTTGTACTTTGTCGATATCCATTCGGGCCGGGTGTTGAGCTACAACTATAATACGAAGAAGGTCAACTTCATTACCCTCAAGGGAGCCGTAACTCCGGTAATTCCGGCGAAAAATAATGAAAACATCCTCATTGTCGGTGTCGACCGGTCCTTGGTTGCCTTGGAATGGGATGGCGAAAAAGAACTTGGAAGTCAAAGGGTAAGTATGCATTTCCTCTGCTTACCTGTGCGGCTATTCTGTCTTAGTCTTATTCGAGTCTGTAATTCTGCACTAAATTTTATCAGTAATATTTTTTATAAACATAAACTCGGTGAAGCTTCATTTAGATATGAGACCTGAAACAGCGTAAAAACGCGTTCTTAGGGCTAATTTTTATATGTACTTTAACGCGTTTGATAGCGCTTTACTTCATTTGGTGACTAAAACGTTATTTTAAAATCTTCTTTTCTCTGCAATATTCTTGAAGGGTGAGTTACATGCAAGCCGCGATATACAAGCATTTGCAAATTTTCGTTGGGCTGATTCCACTCTGCTTTAGCTGGCGACCAAGTCCAAAAAAGTGACTTCATTCTTTACGAGTTTTAAGTTAAAATCGAACTTTAACTTAAGATCGAAAAATATTTTTGCATTATTGTTCAAAAAACATTTGCTAGTATTTGCCCGAATTACCAAAGGTCTCACTTCACTAAATAGGCAAAAACATCGGACGCTACTGCATTTTGAACTCAATCTCAGAACTGTCTAACTCCTCGATTATTTCGCGAAAATTCTCTCTCCTGCAGACTTATTTAAAAAAATGGGCCGTTCTCGAGGAAAATGCAATCAATTTGTCCGTTTCTTCTGCCAAATCAGGTCGCTTGTGAATTTTTACTCTTTTTATATTCGAAAATGTATTTTTCTTTTTGTTAGAGGCGAAAACTGTCTCAAACTTGCTAAGGCTAATTTTGAATCAGACCTTTGAAAATTTAGTTTAGTAACGTTTACTGTTAATCGTCTGATGTCAAGGCTTTGTTAATAAGGTTTCGTTTTAATTGATATTAAATTGTTTTTAATACTCGAGAACGACGCATTTTTGCATAAGTATTTAAGAGATTCGTATTTTCGCAAAGTAGTCACGGGAATTAAACAATTAAAGAGTTGCGTCCAGAAACAGTGGCATCCCATTTTGGCCTATTTAATTGCCAATTTATTTTTCTTGCAAAATATGCCTTTGAATAATCAATTTCGTTAAGATATCTATAACTGGTTTTCTCGACCTGTACAGGGTGATTCAAAATTGGCGTCATTCCTCTGGAGGTGTTGTCTAGCGCTGTTATAGGAGTGCAGAAAAAATAATAAAATAAATTAATTGTTATTAAAAACTGAGAAATTTGCAAAAAACTATATCAGAAATTCGGCAGCAATGTTCTTCAAGGTAATCTGCCTAATTAACATTGCGCAAATACCTGTGGCTTCGTAATTATTTAAAACTTCTGTAACCATGGAATTATACAGACTGACAATAAGATAGACAAGGATAAACGGTAAACTCAACAAGATTGAAGAGAACTTTTTGATATCAAAAATTTTCGTAATTTGAAGCAAAGATCGTAATTTTTCTTTTTGAATGCTTAAGTATTCCAATAGGCTGCCAATCCAACATGGGATTTTTTCAAAATAATGCTTAATAACAAAGTTGAAATTCGATCTTCAACTGTTAATATCTTCTAGAAATTTTCGAAAAAAATGTTTCTATATTTTTCTCGTACTCCCCAAGAGAGCCTCTATCACCCCTTGAAAGGAATGACGCCAATTTTGAATCACCCTATATATATTTAACGAAGGGTTTCTTGAACTGTTCTTAAGAACTAATAGGTTCAAAATTTAATATTCTCTACATATTCTACGCGTAAAAACAAAGCAGAAAATTTGCAGATAAATAAGTAAAGAAACATTGCGTTTATGGTATATACAGAGGGTTAAAATGCGCAATTTTTTCCAGGTTTTCTCAGCTTCTAGCGGTTATGATATATTCATCTCAAATTTGAACTTATTGCTTGTTAGGCCCTGATTCCTTAGTTATAGCGAATTATTGCCAAAGTCTACAAGGGGTACATTTTTCAGGGTGCATGATCTCATATACTCCCCCAAAATTCTTTGCGAAACGCCACTGGTATTTTGTTCTAGAAAATTTGAATTCCCCATTCACATTGAAAACTTTTTTACATCTTGCAATGTTTTCGTATCTGTGATCGTTTTCATGCTATTTGACGATGAATTATGACTAATAATGCAAAGCCACGAGTTGAAGAAGGCTAATAATAAGAACTACTTTACAAGAAATTGCAGCAGCAAAACTAAACATAGTTCAAATGAACATGAATTGAAAGCAAGCCTATAAAGCATTGTAATTTTTGGATTTATATTTTTTTTAAATTCCTGATACACACCCAAAATATTTTGAGAAGCGCCACTGATATTTTGTTCTGGAAAATTTGAATTTCCCATTTAATTTGGCAACTTTTTTGTCTTTCAGTTGTTGTCGCGTCGGTGATCGTTTTTATGTTACTTGATGATGAATGAGGATCTGGATGTTAAATTAAGAGTCGGTCAAGACTAATAGTCGCAATAATAATATTACCAGAAATTTCAACCTCAAAACTAAGCACAGTTCGAATTAACATGAACTGCAATCAAAATTAATATATGTTTAAAAAAACTATGTTCAAAAGAACTTCTTTGGCTACTACTTTGGCTCATAGACTGTGCACTTAAAATTAGGCAAACCCAATTTTGAATCACCCTGTATCAGTTAAAATTTAAAAAAATCTGCTAATATTTAAAAAAATTGAAAAATTAGAAAGAAAACTGGGCAGTTTCCCAAAATAAAATCTGACAAGTTTGAGCCGAATTTACATCTCGTGCAGATTTTCTACTTTCTCTTTCTTTACTTTCTTTCTAAGAAGCATAAAAAAATGTAAATCAATGCGGCAATGGCAGGTTTTAAAATAGGTGCTTTTAAATATTCGATTAGTATTAATTTAAAAACATTTTTCCAGACACTAACTACCGTTTCGCAACAATTCCCGCAGAGTCGATTCAACGATGGAAAAGCCGACAAACAGGGCCGAGTCTGGATAGGTAAGCCATTTAAAAACGTCGTTCTATTCTGGAAAAATGCGAATTTTGGCTGAATTAAGGCACAATGGGCTTTGAAAACCCACAAACGCGTTCATTGGACGCCAACCAAGGCATGCTGTACAAAATGACGAAAGACACTCTAATCAGCCCCAAAGTGGAAGTGGCCCCCGTCAACATCAGCAACGGACTTTGCTGGAACAAAGCCAACAATAAAATGTATTATATCGATTCGCCCACCCGAAAGGTAAGCTGGAAGATAACGAAGTTTTTCCATTATCAACTGGCTGGGGTTTTAGGTGGTGGAATATGACTTTGATGAGGAAAAAGGCGACATTTCCAATCCCAGGATAGCTGTGGACATCACAAAGTTTCCTTATGTAACTGGAAATCCTGATGGCATGACCATTGATCAGGACGACAATTTGTGGATCGCCCTGTATTATGGCGGATCAGTCATCAAAGCCAATCCAAGAAACGGCCAACTGTTGCAGGTAAGAAAGTTGCGTCTAATGGCTGTTGAGCGAAGATGGAACTCGGTGAAAATGGAAAATGGAAAACTTCCTGTTGTCTTCAGGTGGTACCGATTCCAGCCAGAGATGTAACTTCGGTGATTTGGGGCGGCCCAAACCTGGACATTCTCTTCGTAACCACATCCAGGTTTCACCTGTCCGACACGGAAAGGAAAATGTATCCAGCAGCCGGCAGTGTTTTCGCCGTTACGAACCTAAACCAAAAGGGCCTGGTTCCGAACTTTGCTGATTTGGTGAACAGTGTAAGAAGAGCAGTAAGTCTTAGCCAGCGCTGCTTTCCACCAACTTTGGCCCTTTTGCGACTGGTAACTAATTTTATGGACTTTCCAGAACCTGATCGCTGAAATTATACTGAACACTAACGAACTTTTTGCGCCTACTGTATCAAACGAAGTGGTCAGCTACGCGCCTGTAAGCAGCAACACTAATAACAATCCACAAACAAGGACTGTTGAAAGAGCTGACGTTCGTAAGTTTATGATTTAAAATCGTTCACATCCTGCATACGAATTAATCCAATAATTACTGGGTTTGCTTCACGCGCCTGATCCGGGTTGATGGATTTGTGATTGTTTTAAATCTAAATCTAATGATTAATAAAATCAAGGATTGATCTTCTAGTTGAGAATTTTGGTCTTCCAGTAAACTCCAAATGCAACTAAATTTTCTAGAGCATATTTGAGGATTATCGAATCCATTTTCTTCCAAATCCCCACTGATTTGAAAGCAAAATACGTGAAATGAACATAGTCAAGCACTTAAACCCAGCTTAGTGTTCATATAACGAAAACCCCCCGTTAAAACACTTTTTCTTTTCAGCTTTCTGGATGACAATGCTGAACACGATAAGGAGTATCTTCTAATTGGATGAAATAAATGGCTTTTATACGAATTTAGCGTTTTATTTCTGTAGTAGCTGTAGCTAATGGGAAATACCTTTGGTGACCTTTGGGGTTTAAAAACTGGCGTTTAAGGAGCCTAACTACTGGGAGGCCACGGAACCAATAGTTGTTTATTTTTTTATCATGACCACAAAACACCGATTTTTCCTTTGAAAATCAGGCTAAAACCGAGAAAATTTTAAACAAAAACCTGTAATTAACCGCAAAGAACCGGCACATATTAATAACTCTTTGTTGCTAAACACCGTTGGTGGGATTGCTAAGTTAAGCTCGGAATATACTGTTAAGATTTAGTCGATCCTCGCCAATGTTAACAATGTGGTTCTCTTTGGCTACTGTTAGTCTAGCCTGTTTGGTTCAAGGGTAAGACACATTTTTATGTAGAACCGTTAGAACAATGAGATAATTGGGAAATAATCTTCCATTCGACGCTTATTATAGCGTAATTTTCACAAACAATCTTAAGTGGAAATGACCTAATATCAGTTGTTTAACGCATCTCATCCAAAGTGGCTGCCTCAGATAATTAGTTCTGGTTATTGAAGCGGGAATAAAAAAATCTCTTTTAAGCATCATGTCGACGGAATTCGATGGACCTTCGATCATCCAGGTGAGCGACCCCGTTACAATGGGAGAATCCCCGGTATGGGATCGACGACTGGGAAAATTGCTGTTTGTGGATATCCACAAGGGAAGAGTCATGGCTTATGATTTCGAGAAAAAAACCACTGATATTGCTGCGGAATTTCCAGGTAAGAATATTCACCGCAAACTGAACCAAAGGCCCAACAAAAGTTTTTCTTCAAAGGACATGACCTGACGCCAATAATTCTGTACAAAAATAGCCCCAATGTCCTGGTGGCCGGCTTGGGCAGGAATTTGGCGAAAATCGCGCTCTATAACAAATTAGCAGACCCGGAAATTCTGCACACAGTGCAACATGATAAACCCAAGAATCGGTTCAACGATGGAAAAGCTGATAGCAGGGGGCGAGTTTGGATCGGTAAGTTAACCACCAGAAAAATCGATTAAAAAAGATGTTTAAAGCGTTTAACGCCCTGTACATAAAAGGTTAATGCTGAAATTTGACGACTTTCAATTTGGATATATTAAGCTCAATATTGAGAACCAGAACCAAAGAAACAAGCATGTTTTGTGGAAACTCCAGTTCGATTTTTCTTATGGAACTGGCTCAACTTTTCTATTTTATTGCGGTGCGCCGCTGGTGGAATCTAAATAACAAAATCAAATTTCCGGTTTGTTAGAAACGTTTTCACTCGAACGTCTCTCAAGGTTTTGTGGTATCTTCGACCGCTATCGACAAAAAATCATCAAAGACGATTTTCACACATTCCCAGAATCAGTGCGCAGAAGTACTTGATTATAAGTAATCGCAAAAACTCGGCGAACTACAGAGGAACCACTTATAGCTTTTTTTGTAACCAAAACATTTGAGATTTTCTATACTGTAGGCCTGAGTAACACTGTGTTGAGTTGCGCTTTTGAGTTGATGCCCTTCTCTGAGTTAATGAGTTATAACTCATCGGTGAATGAGTCATAACTAATTTATTACAGCGGATTAAAGATGAAAGAGTATCGTTTTTCCAGCAACGGCTCTGAGTTACTGAGTACCAAGCCATTTGCGCAGCACTGCTCCAACACCTAAAAATTCACTGAGTTACCTTTTCTGTAGAAACGATTGCTTAAAAATGCGCTTTTCTGGTTTTTGGTTTAAAACGAGAAAAGTCGGAAATTTTGAAGAAACTTTTGCCTTCTCTGACTGAAAGTGAAGAAACCGGAATTAAAAATAGTTAAATTATTCACAGCGATTAAGTTGGCGAATTTTCCAAATAGCTGATTATAAAGTTTCGCTTGTTCTCTTCGGAAAAATGTTTTTGAGAAAAATCCAGAAAAAATTATTAGGGTTTTGTCCAAAATTCGAAGCTACAAAAGTTTTTAAAAAATCTCGTGTTCCAATAGAATGTATTTGATAATTGGTCACAGAAAATACCTGAATATTGTCAGTGTTTGCGTGCTGAGCAAGAAAAACTTTGCTAAAACTGGAAAGACCCGAAATTTTAAATAAACTTTAAAATACTTTAGAGCGATGAGGGTAGCGAATTTTCCAAATATTTTTTTGCAAACTGTTGCTCTGGTCGGTTTTTCAAGATAATCTTATTTACTTTGGGAAAAAAGTAAATACAATTATTTGGTTTTTGTGCCAAATTCGAAGCTCAAAAGGGCTTTCTAAAATATCCTGCAAAGCGATGCATGAGACCAATTTTTTAACTAAATTAATGGTGCCGTTTTTGGCTGAAAAGGCCCCATGGTTGTCGCAAAAGAAGAAAAGCATCAGAAAATAATGGATTTTTTACGCTTTCGATTAAACACAAGTTTTGGAGAAAACCTTAATAATTTTCCGGAAAAAATGGGGAAACTTATTTTCGTTTTTATCCCGCATTCGACGCTGTAAAAGGTTTTTGTAAAATTCCTTCAGCTATAAATTTATCTTTTTAAGTGAAACTCTATAAAATAGAACGTTTTTGAGTATAAACTAAAGCGAAAAAAAAATCGATGAAAACTAAAATCGAGTTTTTAAACCAACTCTACAGTCTTCAGAGGGCTGGGGGTGATGAGTTTTTATAAACTGTTATATTCTGTATGCCTTTATTCTGTTTCTGCTTTTTAATCAAAAATTAGTTGATTTTTGTACTAAATTTGAAGCTAAAAAAGGATTTTAATACTTTTTACGAAACGACGAATGAGGCGTGTTGTAATATAATTTATTTTACAATTTTTCGCGGAAAATTTCCTTAGATTGTCAGTATTTTTACGTGAAACATTAGAAAAATGAGTGATTAGAAGAAACAGTAACTGTGCTAAAACTGGGAAATTCTGAAAAAACTAAAAGTACATATTGTTAATAAATGGCCTCTAAAATAAAGCGAAGAACAACTTAACAAAAAAATCAATTTTTTTGCCAGCAACGGAACTGAGTTACTGTGCCGCTGCGTTGGGTTGGCGCACAATGCCAGTACGCAGCACTGCGCCAACTACAAAAAATTCAGAGTTACCCAGGCCTACTATAATAAAGTAAGCACTGTCCCATATGAGACGTACGAAGTACATGTTTTTACTGCTTCTGTGAAAAAAGCACAATAGACCAAGATGTGTTTTTAAACTGATCGGAAAATAGGTTTTGCATTTTCAAATTTAGCAGCGCTGAACTTAAAAAATTTGAAAGAGAAATGAGAGCGTCGTCTTTCATAAAATACCATTCTGTAAAATCTCACAATACTGTTCCTAATGCCGAATAAATTGCAATACATAAACATTTAGAAAACCGCAGAAGCCATAAAGATTTTTTTTATCTTCAGTATTCAACAAACATTTCTGCGGTTGTTTTTTTGAAAAATGGCTTATGCTCCAGTGTCTACATAATTGGTCATTTCATGTGGTAGATAAATCATAGTACCTTTTTTGCCACAAATACCTCAACAATTCCTTGCGCTATTAAAACATCACGCACTGTTGAATCCTATACCCGGCAAACTTTAGGTACGATAGGAGATGAGCCATCCCGAGGCAAACTGGACCTTAATGCAGCCGCTCTGTTCAAATTTACCAAAGGCAATGTGACTAATCCGACAGTAATGATCCCAAAAGTAAGCGTTAGTAACGGAATTGCATGGAACCAGGATGGTACGGAATTGTACTACATTGATACACCCAGCGAAGAAATTGTTAAGTATGACTACTATTCGGAATCTGGAAATATTGCCAACAAAACCGTCGTGTTCAGCACCAAAGGAAAAGGATTAGGGTATCCGGATGGTACGTAAACCTTCCCAAACTGTTTATTTTTCCTACTCTATTAAACCCCTGGCTTATAGGTATGACCATAGACGAAGATGGTAATCTATGGGTGGCTCTTTACGCTGGAGGCTCAGTGATTCAAATTAACCCTTCCAATAGGACGTTAATCAGACGAATCCCCATTCCTGCTCAGTTTACCACGTCAGTAGCGTGGGGCGGGCCTAATCTAGACGTTCTTTTCGTAACCACTGCAAGGAGGTATTTGACTCCCGAAGAACTGCAAGGGCAACCAGGTGCAGGCAGTTTGTACGCGATCACTGGTTTAGGCACTAGAGGGCTTCCCGATTTTGAGGCAGATGTTTGAGAAATAAAAGTCCTTATTCATTATATAGGCAGATTTATTTTGTTTTAATAGATACACGTAATAAGAATTACAATCTGAGAACTACCATAATGCAATATTACGTAACAGTATATATGTAACAACATTTAGGCCTTTTATTAATAGCTATTCTGATATTGGTACCAAGAGACACATGGAAAATGTTCAATTGACTTTCTGTTCTCAACCTGCTCATCAAACAGCCGAGTTGGATTTCACTGACCGTTTGTTTTAGAAAAATATGTGTTAACTGTTTAATCACAACGCTGTGTTTCATCATTAATCAACCCGCTAATAGTGATTACATATTTTAAGTATATATAAAAAACTGTTAAGAAATGCTTCTGTCCAAAAAGGCATCAAACTAAGGAATGAAAATCAAAATCTTTAAACTACTAAGTAGTCGATGAGCCTGAAACATGTTTCTCTTAGTCTGGCTGGAAAAGTGTAGTGATGAGCGAATTCCACATAAAACCCGCCCTTCATTTCTAGTCAATGAAAACTTACAAACCCGATTTAGAATGTTTGCAAATTTGCCCATCACTTTCATCATTTAGCTTGAGTAACAGCGTTCATATTAGGAAGAAAAAACACCGATATTAAAGTCGAGGAATTATCGATATAAAAACATCTAATATAATGAGTATTCGCAGACTGCGAATATTAAGTGAAAAGGCGAAGTTGTCGCTTATTGTGTTATCATGCTCACAATAATAGTAAATAACATTTGCCATGCATACATAAGGGCGAAGCTGATGAGCAGTTATTAACCAATCGACCTTAGCTGCTCTAAAAACTAAACCGATACTTGGATAAAATCTCCAGACAGTTGTTTAATTTCAATTAGAGAACAGAAATAAGTTAAAAAGAAATATTGATGGTTTTTAATAAAACGAGAAATTTTTAGTGATTAGTTAATAACCGGAACATGCAGCTCAAAAACATTTTCATATGGTACCTATCTACATATTTTGAAAAGGGACGATATTCTTAAATAGGTTTGTGATCAAGGTAGATACAGTTGCGATATTTCCTATGAGGAAACTCCCAGTTAAGACCGAGGTATAGGAATTAAGAAGAGAAACATGTAATTAATTCACATTCAAATGGGTATTTTAAAAAGTCCTACTTCTACTTCCCTGTATTGATATAAATCTGAATTTACTGTTTAAAAAGCAAACAGTTACAAACACACAGGTGCGGCATGCGAATGTTCACGGCGCATCATTATACATATAATCATTACCAGTGAACGATCGTTTACCAAACCTGCAAATAAACATGTATATAATACAAATAAAATTGATATGATTGCGCTTAAAACTGATTTCCGCACAATCTGAGCAAAGTAAATCATAACACGAACTAAAAGACCAAAAGCAACTGTACATGATAAAGTTTGCGACTAAAACACATCTTCGCTTTACTAGCAAAACCGAAACGAAACGTTATCTAAAACACAGAAAGCCTGTGCGTATTTCGGACACAACCATATATTACGATTTACAAAACCTACGTTTCAAAAATAGATTGTTTTCTCTCATTGCTTTCAATAAAGACCTAGCGATTTAACGGAATTACTATAATGCGCCTGTACAATTTAGCTTAGAAACTCATGTGCATATGGGATATAAAGCTTTAGATTAGATTAAAACTGTTCTGGAGACTATGATGAAGGATAATGATGGAATAAATTGTTTGTGTTTTTCTTGAATAAAATGAGCCACTTTTTCACTATCCCATACAAGCAGAGTAGCTGCTTTTTAAGATCGAATAATTTGTGCAAACGACAAAAAAGGTGCACTCAAATCAATCGATGACCAAAATTAAAAGTGGGCGTTAAGTTTTCCTTACATGAATATACAGAGTGATGGAAAACCAATTTTGCGCCTAGTTTCAACGTTTTGAAGCCGAAATAAAAAAAAACATTGCGGCAAAGTACAGTAGTTGAAAGAAAATTGCAATTTGTCTTGAGATTGACTTTCATGCACCTACAATTGGAACATTCTAGTTTTCACTAGTTGAGCCTTGTTAATGGTACCTTTGCAAGCCTTTCAGCAAGTAAACAAGTTGTATAAATCTTTTATCTGCTAACATTATGGAATTCTTAAAACCATTCAAATATCCAGCACGTAAACATGTTCGGCAATAAACAGATGGAATATCAACAAAAAAACGTGCTAATGACAAAAAACCTTCACCGAAAAGACTGACTTTGGCCCTGATTAGAGCCAGTAATAATAAATAAAACATATGGATTTACTTGAAAGTCTACAATACTGCATAGGGGGGAAAAATCAGTTTACCTGTTTTATTGCACTGAAGCTTATACAATATTATAGACCTTCGTTTGCAGGTGTTTGTTTTAAGTCTTAAATGCTCATTTCAAATGACTATGACGTATTCATTGCTTGATCCTGCCGTTTCTGATCGTCGTGCTGTTGCCTGTGTTTAAACAAGAGCGTCTCTTCGAAAATCAATTTCTTCAGTTGGTCTTTCGGAAGATCGTCAAGCTCTGTATCAAACCTGAACGGTTGCTCTGCAACCGGCTGAAGAAAAAGACATTTTTGTAGGGCTTCAGGCGAACAACTCAACCAAAGGCCTACCTCATCAGACGGTTCGTAATACTGTTCTAAATAAGGATGCGCCAATGCGCCTTCAACCCCAATTCGACGATGGGGATTGAAAGTCAGCATCTTATCCAACAGATCCAGAGCTCTGGGATCGGCATGCGGATACAGTTTGGCCCAAGGAACTTTTGGTTTGTACGGTAAAGACTGTAAGTAACTTCTGGCCTATTTTCCAGAAAACACAGTAAAATACATGTGGCCGAGAAGCGCAGTTAAGCACTGAAATATCCAACAAGTTTCAACCAACCTTTTCATTGATAATGCAGTTTAAATCTTCTTGAGATGGTGAACCCAATACTCCCAATATATGGTTCAACTGATCTAAGTAGTGTTTTCCCGGGAATATCGGCCTGTTTGCCAACATTTCCGCTAGAATACAACCGACTGACCATATGTCAATTGACTTTGTGTAACCCTGCAATATATATTATATATTGCATCAACCAGTTGCATGTTTACGCGTTTTAGTACCTTTGAATTGAGCATTATTTCGGGAGCTCGGTACCATCGAGTCGCCACATATTCGGTAAGAAATCCTGTGTGGTCGTGCTCTGGATCAGCAACTCTAGCTAACCCAAAGTCGCAGATCTATAAATAGTATTCGGGATTTTATGCGACTATACAAAAACCATCACCAATTGATTGTAATCAAGCGCACAGACAGGAATAAGTAAGTGCGATCAAGCCTCACTTAAATATTTTAAAGCTCAAGACCTACATGAGGGTACTCACTTTGAGGTCGCATGTGGTGTTTAGTAGTAAATTGCTGGGCTTCAAGTCTCTATGTAGCACATTGGCGGAGTGAATATATTTTAATCCACGAAGGATCTGATATAGAAAGTAACATATGTGGTCGTTACTCAGTCTCTACAATTAAGAATCCGCCTTTATTATCTGCTTAAAATTGGATTTCAGTTCTGAGTTTTGAGAACATACCTGAGTTTTGAGTAGTTTGTAGAGATCGGTTTCCATGAGACATTGTACGATGTACACGTCTCGCATCTGATCTATATTTACAGCCCGAAGTATATCTCGGATATCAATTATCTGCAAAATGCAACGATTTCAAAAAATGCACTCTATAATTGAATCGAGACATTAAAAATTATTAAATTAGTTCGGTTCTCCTACATATTGTAGGTAGGTACTTCGATTTAATCAATAAAAATAGGCTCAAATATCCAATCAACTACATTGTAGTATTTTACGTCAGCAGGGAGCAAGTGAAGTGAAAATCCTGCAGGATCGAATTCCATTTGCGTCCGTCGAAACCTAATAACGCCCGATAAATTCACGAAGCGAAATAACTGCGTGTGTAATCAATGGAAATAAAGTGGGTTGATCAATGGAAATTGCGTCTCGTGTCTTAACAAAAAAAACTAATAGTTTCTTTTTGAATCTTTAAACGAATGGATAAAATGCGTTACATTCGCTCATCTGCAGTTACTTACATTTTCATGCTTAAACCTGGTGAGGATTTTTATTTCCCGCAGAGTTCTCTGACAATAGGTCTGATGCTCAAACGGGGAAATCTTCTTTATGGCAACTTTGGTATTTGTGAGGACATCATTCGCCGATCTTGAAACCAAAATTAAATACAATTAATTGAATCGCAAATGCCCTTTATTCAATATTCAAGCATCACTAATCCCCTGTTGAATGAAAAACAGTTATTCCCATCTGCCCAGACAGCCTATTCTAGGAGGCGAACGACTTCAAAGAAGCATCGGCGGCTATCCGATGTTTTTTCTTTTTAGCGGCGAAAGTTATCGAGCTATTAAACCGCATTGCGTCGTGCTGTAATATGTATTGACAGTAGAATTTCTTCGCCATCAAATTAAAATAAGAATGTTTATATAACAGCAGACGATTCAATTAGAAGGCTATTAGGATGAGTCTGGGACATGTGTACACTTTCTGGCTGGCTGGATAAGTGTTTACTTTGCGATATGCACTCACAAGTTTGGCAATAAAAACGAAAACGATAAATAGCAAATACGGTTTCCCCTTGAAGCTTTCAGGGAGATTAGTTAAAATGGAATGGCTCGAGTGCTCAGATAAAAAATAATCAAACTAGGGAGTGATTTATCCACTTGTGGTTAAACTGATTGCACTACATGCATATCTTTTTTAACTGTTTCCAGTGTTTATCGGCCAGAATCCTTATTAGTTATAGCAAACTATTGGCCAAATTGCAAGACTGCTTCTAGGAAGGTTTTCTCTATTTTAGCACAAAAAGTTTCAGTTTCAATCTGTTAAAGGCAAATCTGTTAAAGGTGTACCTACTTTTAAAATTAAGCACCTCTAGGCGAAGCTCAAATAAAATTACATTTCACACGAATGTTTGCAGTAGATAGTTACACAGTTGACAATCTGATAAGACTTAAAATCCCAAGTTGGCACTTAGGAAATTCCTGACTAGGCAGACTAGCAACTAATAATAATATAATTAATAGGTAGTAAGTAGATGCATATGAGACAAATCCAAAACTGATAAAGAACTCAAAACATCCATCTGTTGCCTGCATTCATGAGTGTGGACCTTTCGGAACCCAAAACACTACTTAAATAGTATACAATACACATAAAATATCGAGATATCACTAGACTATTAGTCTAAAAGACTGGACTAAAAGGCAGGACAATTTACTGGTTAGTATTCCATAGAATATTGGGACCCCCAAATGAAAACTGGAAAAACTTACACGACCATTCCATAGGCACCTTCCCCGATATAGGACAGGTTGGTGTAACGGGGTCCCACCTCAAAGATTTGGCCCCTAACGATGACGGCGTTTGGGTTCGTACTAGACACACCTGTAGCTTCCGCCATTTTTGCCCGAACGAGACTACACTAAACGAGTTACCGGTAACAAGTAATATTGCGGAAAGTGCTGCAAATTACTACAAACGAACGCGAAGAGTGCCCCCAAAGGGCCGGCTTACATTAATCGATTTGAAGAGAATCGCGGGTCACCTAGTATAACTGTGTGAATGAAGCCGATTTTTCCACTAACACCCGCTACGATTTTACGAGATTTAAAACGGAGCATGTAAATAGAATCATCACTTTAACATTTCTGTAGTAAAATTACCGTAGTTTCAGAAATAGTGAGCCGAGAAAGATTATTGATTGTGGAAAGCTGGAAATTGACACTGACATCGCGACATTTTCACCGACACGTATGACGGTTTGGCGTTTTATCAATAGAGGTATAAAAGCCAACAAACTGACCCGAAAATTAGCGCAAATTAACCGCTTAAGATAAAATGTGCCTTAAAAATCTCGCTTTCTCTAGAATACCTCAGGGATCAAATCCTCAACTTTTTCTAGTTATTTAAGCTTCAGCTTATTTTTAAAAATACCCGCTTTTAGTTAGCTTCAGACGACGTCATCACCCGCGGATAAGAAATGCATTTATAAGTCTATGGAATTTTTCGTGTTTGTCAAATACACTGACGGCCATCAACTATGGTCGATTAGCCAAATCCAGTCATTACTACTTGGCAGTTTTCGTATATAAATCTTTATTAAACCCTTTTTATTCAATTCTTTTCCGTTTACGCAAAAAGCAATTAATACAGTTCGATATGGAGAGCTTATTCAGTATGTGGAAAGTGCGCGAAATCGCTGATAAAGTGTAAGAAACATTTCATGCGTTCCAAATGAAAGTCTTTTTGATGTTTTTATACCGTTCTAGGACAAATGTTGTAATGAATTACACAGAAATCGAGGCGAAAGTGCGAGAAGCCACCAACGATGAGGCGTGGGGCCCCACCGGGGCGCTTATGCAGGAACTCGCTCATGCAACATTCACCTACGAACACTTCCCAGAAGTTTTGTCTATGCTCTGGAAACGTATGTTGCAGGACAGCAAACAGCACTGGCGGCGAACGTACAAGGTACTGAGCGCTCTTTGAAGCTGAAATCGTTACTAAAAGCCTGAATTCTTACAGTCCTTGCTAGTGTTGAACTATTTAATAAAAAATGGGTCCGAGAGAGTGGTCACATCTGCAAGGGAGCACATCTACGATCTGCGATCACTGGAAAACTATACATTTATTGATGAGAATGGAAAGGACCAGGGTGTTAACATCAGGCACAAAGTCAAGGAACTGATAGACTTTGTGCAAGACGACGACAGGCTGCGTGAGGAGAGGAAAAAGGCCAAGAAAAACAAAGACAAATACATTGGAATGAGCTCAGATATGATGGGAATGAAATTTGGTGAGTAGATTTTACAACTAGTAACGCTTAAATAGTTGACTAATGCCCGTAAATTCCAAGTCACAAAGCATTGCAACTTCAAATTTTATTACAGGTTCCGGTGCTGAAAAGTGGGATGAGAAACCTTACACTAAAAACGATTTCGGTGACAATAATTGGGATGACCACTCCAACGGAAGATACCGCGATAAGTCTTATGATGAAGATATTGATAGGGAAGCCATTGATAGTGACGATGACCGATCGTCCAGAGGTAAGCCAACTTTATATTCACGTTGAGGGCAAAGTCAAATTTAAAAAAAATTAGGCGGAACCAGTAGTGCGAATAGATATAAAGATGAAGGAGGACCGGGCAGTCCTCCCGCTTCCACACCTACATATCCCGAAAAGAAGGTGAACTTAGTTCTTAACTCAACCATCACAGCATCACCGAAAAAGACTCAGAAAACTCTAAAAAAGGTAATAGAAGTTCTTAAAAACTAGTAGTTAATTAGAAAGGCGAAAACCTGTAGGTTGACTTGGGAGCGGCCGCTAACTTTGGCAGAGACGCCACGCAAAGCCCCCTGCCTAGGCCTCCAAGTGGGGGAGCTTCCGATTTATTTGACGACTTCGACCCCAGAGCTTCTGAAAAAATCGTTCGAGCAACTGACAATGAGTTTGGTGACTTTGAGGTAGTTTTTAATAACCCTCCGCCCGTTCAAACCTCTTCAGTTGCCGCTAGCAAACCTGAGGACGATTTTGCAGACTTCAGTTCAGCGTTTTCCACTTCCAGCAGGTAGAAACTCCGATCAGGCTAATCAATTTTGAAGATTAACGTGTGATTTTATTAATTTCAGTACTGCTCCCTCCAGTTTGCTCACATCGCCTACAACTCCAACTGTTTTACCAAACATTATTTCTCCTACTATGGGGGTTTCCAACTCATTGCTGTCCATGGGCCCAAATCTTCTCGGGGGGCTAGATCAACCTACCTTAGGAGGCCAAACTAGTCTTCTGGGGCCTACACCTGCTCAACCCGCCCCTGTGGTAGCACCAAAGGACGATTTACTAGGAGATTTTAGCAGCATGAGCATACAGCCGCAAATAGTTAGCAACAATTTGAACAACAATTTCAATGATGGCTTCCTGGGCGGGCCTGCGTTGTTGGACAATTTTAATGGTAAGTGAAATACGTTGCAGAAATTTACTGCGTCATAGTGGCAAGGTAACCGAATTCCGAATTTAGACAAAATAAGAGTTTTCTCAATGTGATATAAATGATGTTTTATATGGGGGTTGCTTGCGTTAGTTTATAAATGTTTCCGGTGGTTCGGCGCGTTTTACCACCGTAATCCGTTTAGCAAAAACGAGTCTTTGTGTGTTCTCTCAGACTCTTCGCATTTGCGATTTTTTCGCCTATAGTGCTAATACAATATGGGAAATTCACTGAATTTTCCCATTGCAGATGGTAAATCCAGTCAGCCACGCCTGTTAAGGCACAAAAAGACAAGATTGCAAAAGGACCTAGAACAAGTGACTATTCCAGTAATAGACCATCTGATAAAAGTGAAGAAAATTGCGTCGCAATCTGATATAGACCTCATTATGGAACAGCTAAATAGCGTTCTGAATCATTATCCCGCAACAGTAAATATATATAAACTGCAAGGCCTGGATGATATTTCTTATGATGAGTATGTAGATAAATGGTTTGCTGTGCTCCTAGAAGAGCTGGTGAGATTGTTTGACCACAGCTTTCCTTTCAAAGATGGGAAAATCTACCAAGTTGTAGGCAAGCTGTTCAGTATTCCGGATAGTAGTTTTTTTGAGGCCAGTCTAGAGGTGCTGGTTAAAAGCCTAAAGGGCAAAACATCGGCGAAAAGCGCCGTGGGCTGCCTGCAAGTTTTACTGCAGGCCGAAGGCCTCTTTGCATGCATTGTTTCCTCTAGCTTTAGTCCGAAAGATCACTGGGAACACATTGTTAAGCTTATAGTGTCTTTACCCGCTAGAGTGGCCAATTGCTTGGAGCGAGAAACACCCGATTTTTTCTCAAATCAACAGTTTGCAAACTTGCTACTGTACAATTTCCTCAAAAGTTTTGAGTTTGCTGCCCTGATAGTTCACGCAGAGTCAAAGCTACAAAACCGAGTAATATTCACGAATGTAGCTCATCTTTTAAGTCAGATAATCGTCAACTTTAATGAGCGAAACAATTGCAATGGACTCGACCAATTCGTCTTCATTCTCGGGTTGATTACGAGCACAAAGTCCGAGAAAACTGGGTGTTATCAAAGCCTGCTTTACGGCATTTTGAACTGTCTTTATAGGCCAGCAGTGGAAATTCTGGCTAAAACTTGCCTAACGAAACTGGACCCCAAAGCGGTTTCAATGAAAAGTCTACTAGGCAAAGAACTATTGAAAAATCCAGACTGGAAATACGTGCTGTGCACCAAGCTGCCGTTGCTCAGTTTTATCGAGAAGGATCATGAGAACTTTGTGACTAATTTGGTGTCCTATTTAGGAAGTGTTTCCCATAGCGAACTGGTTCGACTGTTTTCCAACTTGGTGGTGATTTGGTCGAGTAAATCCTCCTTGAACCGCACAAGTGTTGAACATCATGTGCTAATATCAAAGTTCATAGTATGTATAGTGAATTGCCTAAAGCAAATCGGTCTGAGCGAATTTGAGAGAAATACAATCAAAGAGAGCGTTTATCGTGGCTTGCCAATCCATCTGGAAAGCACTGTGGATGCAATCAGCAACTCTGGCAAGAAAACCGGTGAAATAGTTGTGAACTTTTTGAATGAAGAAACCGACTTGGCCAATCCGTTGAAGTTTGAGTATGATAGATTGAGCAAAGAAACACTAGAATTCATCAAGCAGCTTGAATACTTTCAGAGTTTGGACTTTGAAGAAGTTTATCGAGCAAAAAATAGCAGCTTTGATGTAGACGCAGAGCTGCTGAAGTTGAGCAAAAGTGAATCTCCTATTGAATATGTGCCTCCTCACCGAGTGTTTCGAAGCCACCCGGAAAAAATACAGTCCAATGAAATTGTTATTTCGCATTATGTGAAGCCGACAGAACGCACCATTAACATCATCGACAATAATTTGGAATTGGACTCAGACGACGAATTCGAGCCTTACGATTTAAGCAATGATGATACAGGGTCTGAAAAACCTCCACCGGCCTACTTGCGGGACGTCATAGAAAATTTGCTGGAAACCGATGATCCAGTTGTGTTCGACATAACTCTTCAGCATTGCGAATCGCTGGTCAAACAGCAACTGCCTGATGATGATGCTAGTATTGGGCTCGAATTGCTGCAAATACTCATCACACTCGACTGCAAATTCTATATGGAAAACTTCAATATGCTGGTGTTTCAGAGCTGCGTGGCCATCACTTGCGTGTATCCTGCAGCTTATGCGGAGTATCTGTGCAAGGAAGTGCATGCTGAGATTGGGAAATACTCTGTAGTGCACCGCATATTGATGTTGGATATTCTGCGACAAGCCAGCAAGAGTTTGTCGAGTTTTTCGAGCGAAAACACTCAGAATGGGAACAGCAAACACGCTATTGCTTCCGATGTTGTTAGGAAGCGGCTGGAAAGCAAAACCCGGTACTTTCACCAGAGCAAAGTAATACCCAAAGCCGAACAGATAAATAGATTTGCTGAAGTAGCGGGCTACTTTTTCTTTCCTTTGATATACGGCTACAACCAAAACGTGCTTTTGACTCAACCAATCACGAAAAACTCCGATGATTATCTGCTGCTGGTACATTTCGTCGAAACATTGGCCATCATCATGTTCTGCGCCCAAAACTGCAACATCAGCATCCGAATGGCCAAAGAGGCGCTCCAGTTCTCGTGGTTCCTGCGCTTTCATAAAGACGTGAAGGTGCGAATGGCCGTATTTAATCTCATCGGGGCGATACTTTTAACCGTTCCACAAGCCCTTCTTATACAGAACTTCGTTAGTGAGCTGTTAGAGCTGCATTTGTGGCTGGTCGAGTTACTCAATCCAAACGTAAACCGAGGCGAACCGAATGATGAATGCAGGCGTTTAATTTCTAGCACTGTTTTCCTGCTTCAAAATGTCTTAAAAGTCGATCTGGAGGAAGCAGATGAATGCTCATAGTTTTGTTTGTGTAATTTATTGTTCTTTATTAAAGTCCTGCTTTTGAGGTTTGAATTATTTTTTTTTTGTTTTATTTATACCAATTTCCCAATGTTAGAAGAAACCCATCCGGAAAATAGAGCCATCTTAAAATGTTTATCTAGTTGACTTGAAGATGGTTTCAATCATTTAAAACGCGAATTTCACATCGATTTATTATGAACAATGGAGTTTTTGAACAAAAAACCCAGGGATTTGGAACCTTATTTGATTTCCTATGAGTGATAAGATATTCTTATCGCAATTACTTTTGTGAAATAGGCTCAGCTTGCGTCTATAGTCAATATTTGGTTTAGTTAATCGCATTTTGAGATACATTTCTTTGCGTATGAAAGTACCTGCAAACGCCACTTTAACTTAAATTGTTGATTTGCTGCTGAGCAAAAGTCTCGAGTCTAAGTGCTAACTGTAAACTTCCCAATTCGCATTTTCTTGTGTTTTAATGCAAATAAATATTTTAATTGAACTCCTGAGGAGGAAAAAATAGCTGTCGAATTACATTTGATCACTAACGAAATCCTATATATTTTTACGGCAGTTTTGGTGATGATAAAAGCAGAATTTTTCATTTTAACTCCCAAAGGAGCAGGAACTTTTGAGAAACCTCTTTTGCTGGAGGAAGGTTTTAAGACGCTCTATCGATAAGACCCAAAAATGTTCCAAGATTTATCAAATTTTGGGTCAATTATTTTGAACTTTCACTCTTAAGGAAGAAAATATAGCTGTCCAAACGCTCTATAAAATTGTATATAATCATTTATAAATTCGGGTATTTCGGTAGTTCTCGAACAAAAAGAGAATAGCAAAAAATGAATACCGGCTTTCATGTGCAGATTGCTCTATTTCGTGATTTATTGAGTAATTCCAACAATTTTGATTTTCTGGACTTATTCATTTTCTGAAGACCACAAGCAAATCGAGTTCAATTGGTTGTGGAAAAAATTGTTTTCAAAGTTACGGGCACAAAATGAAAATGCATTTAAGCAGTTTAATTGGAAAAAATGTAATTATTTCTGTTTACGTTAACGACAGTGCTGATAAATCCATGCTAAGAAAAAATCCTCGAATCTGGCAGATAACTTTTTAAATGCTTACTTTGATCACAAACACCCGAAAAAATATCTTTCAACTTCCAAATACAGCGAAAACAGCATGTTATTACAAAAAAATTAATCCATGTATAAATGGCTCATCATTTAGAATTCGAAATCGCGGCATGAAGTGTTTTTTCCTGTCGGACTTTGAGAGTTTCTCAAATTTGGGGTTTTAGTCCTTTAAACGTGGGGAAAGTCCAATGAAACTTAATTAACGAAGAACCGATATTGAAGAGAAGACTGATGGGTACCTGAAAAGGGGCGAAACTCTCGTTCGATTCTCAATTAACTTCTACTAAAATATCATTAAAAAAATTCGCTTTAGGTCCCTATGATGACTCTGATATTAACAGCCGATTTCAATCTGGAGCAAATTTGGCAGCAACTGGAGAAAAATTGAAATTTTGTAGGCCGTTAATAGACAAAAAAACAGCAATCAATGTGGAAGTTTTTTAGCGGACCCACGAACTCCATTGTATTGCGTGTAGAAAAAAGTCTATTTAAATGTGAAACACCACAGAAATGCGGAATTTTCAATGAATGTTATTTTAGGGGAGTTGCTCACTCCTTCTCCAATCGCCCCATTACAACCCTCTTCCAATTCAAACCCAGCCCTCTGTTCTGCGGCCACCTCCATTACCAGAAACCAGCCCTTGGGCTCCACTTGGGCCAACTCTGGAAACGTGAACATCGACCTGGACAATCTACTCCTGAGTAAACCCAAAACTGCGCCATCTCTGAGTATGAATCAACTGGCCAGCAATCCGACTTCTCCAGTCAACCAGCCCAGATCGAATGCCAACAATGCGGCATTTTCCAGTCCGAATGCTCCCGGGTTTTCCCAGCAAGGTAATCAGCAGTTTTTCGCGAAATTCCAGTGAATAGGAGTGATGTAGAACAGGCAAATATGAGACGAGGCTGCGGCCTCAGTGCATTTAAATTTTCTGACAAAATGCCACTTTTTGCAATTAAATTTGGGCGGTTTTGAGGAGGAAAATGACTAAGATTTTGGAAATAGTTTGCAAATTAAATAAATATGAAATTTACAATTATATCTACTCTTATCTAAATCAGTTAATAAATTAATTAATCGAGCAGGGTTGAAATGTTTTATAAACATTCATTCAAACTCATGTTCGAGGATTAAGGACTTGATGAGCCGAACTCCGTTCTAGTAATATTTGGGCGAATGAGTTTTCTTTCATCAACATCAAATTTTAAACATTTAATGACTTAATTGACTAAGTACATTTTACTTTTTTTACATTTTCACAAGTACTGCACATAATTTTGTAAATAGTGTTAAGTCAGATTTTATAAAATGCTCATTAAATATCAGGTGCTGGGTTTATAGTTAGGTTTAAGTATTTATTTACGTTTTAGGCCGCTGATACCATTTGTAATATAATTATTATCAACAAGGTTCCTTCGGGAGTCCAAATAAAAAGCAATATTCGATTATACATATAAAAATCTAATCTTATCTTTAAGTTTATAAATTTTATTTTACATTTGAATATATTTTTCATATCATTTTATTATAAAGTTAGCTACTTATATTGTGTTTTAATGGCAGCGTGACTAGAGCCACAAATCAGGAAGCTGAGGTTCTCGTCTTAACCAAATTAGGCGCAAATCTGACCAAAGGTGCCTTGTTTAGAAAATGTTTAGTAGTTCCTTTTGGTGACTCTAATTCAACGCAGTGCCAAAACAGCGCAGTTTTAAGAGACGATCTTTATCTGCGCACATATCAGTATCCAGAGCACTATAAAACTCTTTTATTTCTCCGCACAATTTTTTTAGCTTCACCAGAAGGAAGTATTATCTACCTGTTTAAGTATAATTACGTACTAGATTAGGTCCTATTGTCGACATATTTGGTAACATTCCCAAACGCTCAGTTGCATAGCTAACTTGAATAAATAAAATGTTCGATTTCAGTTAATTTCGTTTTTCTACTTCCTATTTATAGGCATTCGAAAAGTGTGAATTATTAAGATTTATTCATTGTGGCACCCAATATTCGCACGAGTCCACACAATAATTGACTAGCTAATACACAGTGCAAAAAAAGAGGTTAAACGTTGAAAATCCCTGGAAATTTTTACAATTTTTGAAAATTTACGGGGTGTTTTAAAAATATTTAGAACATAATTTTGTTGACAACGGACAATTTTTCGAATATACAAAATTTAAACAAATTATGTTATTGCTCAGGGCATTAAATGAGTGCGATTATTCTCACTAAAAACTGATATATTTGCAAAAAACTAACTCGTGAATTAGGCAACAATCCGCATCTAAAAACGAGAACACCATATATTTGTGTCCTTGTCTGGTCCATGTAACAAGCAAAGAATCCGCCTTATCGCTAAAAATCAAGGGCAAAACCGACAACTATGGCGCTGCGCCATTTAGTGAAGAAGAAAATAGACAGTGAGTGAACTCTGCAACCTAACCTAAATGATTTGTGGTGATGGCTATGTTTAGAGCTCTGGGTAGAAATTTGCCCTATTTAAAGCAGCAATTCGGAGCTTTACTAGGGAATACCAGCACGTCAGTGCAGTTTATCTGCGGAGTGGTTCTAGTTAGCTACGGGCTTTCCTACTGGGACGATGCCGTGGAAGTCATTTCAATTACCCCCGGATATATTATGCCTCCGACGAGGATCTGGTCCCTATTCACGTTCTGTTTCATGGAAATTCACTTCTGGGAAGTCCTGGTCGATGTTATAACCGTCGGACTGTGTGGAAAACTGATCGAGCCTCTCTGGGGCCCATTGGAGATGATGACCTTTTTTGCTCTCACTAACTTCGGAGTGGGCATTCTCACTACTACTTTCTACTTTGTTTTATACTACTGTTTCAATGATACGAGATATCTGTACAGTGTGTACATACATGGCTTGGCTGGATACATTGCTGGAGTGTCAGTGGCAGTGAAGCAAATAATGCCAGACTTGGTCATCATGAAGACTCCTCTGGGCAAATTGAGCAACAGGAATATACCACTCACCGTATTCTTCTTATCTGTGATCTTGAAACTTGTTGGACTAGTCGACGGTACTTATCCAACAATGTATTTTTGGGGCATGATCGTTAGCTGGGTGTATTTGAGGTTTTATCAGAAGCACAGCAGTGGTTCTAGAGGCGACATGGCTGACTATTTTACTTTTGCAAGGTAACAGGCATTTCCATTTTAAATGGAGGAAACAATGATTTTTTAAATTAATTGCAGTTTTTTCCCTAACGTAATTCAACCCCCGATAGCTGTGGTAAGTAACAGCATATACAATGCTCTTGTTAGGGTGGGCGTTTGCAAGAAAAGCATCCGGAAATTCGATATGGCCAACCCTTCAGGAGTCACCATATCTGTTCCTAATGTGGATCAGCATGACATGGAGCGCAGAAGGTAAAGCAGTTTCTTAATCCTGGAAGAATTTAACTCAAAATTCTGATTTTCCAGGCAAATTGCACTGAAAGCACTCAGCGAACGATTGTCCAAGTCGTACAGCGACCGGCAGCCATTATTGCCGTTGACTTCACCCTCAAGTGGAATGACAAAAGTGTCTTTGCCCCCGACAGTCATGCAAAGCACCGCAGCAGCTTCCCTAACATCACAAGTCCATCACCATCAGCAACAACAAAGCACGTCCGCATCAATTCCCTCGACATCAAGCTCAAGCATACCGAACCCGCCAGGTACTTAGTTGATAAGACTTGATGCGGTCATTTTCCAAATAAGCTAAATTTCTTATTTTCAATTAAAGCCCAAGTCTAAATAGCTGTAAGCCAAGGCAACGATGGCCCCAACTGTGTTAACTAATTAAGTTCTCTAAGGGAATGCATCGTACTCAGCCAAAGATTAGCTCTAATGGCAAGAAAGTGCGGACTTGAAACTAACAGTTATTTTCGCTAAACCCGATTCTAAGGGGTGATCTTTCATCATTTTACCTCTATAACGGCCCTTATAGACAAATGTTCAATAGGTTTAAAAAAAGGAATAAGGAATTGTAATTAGGCGCAAGTTTCGGGCCCCGTCCTGCTTGGAGCACACTTACCTAAATTATCCAAAATAAATCGAAGCCCTTGCATGAAAACGTGGGCAGTATCATTTGGCTCAGTTCGTTTAATCTTGTAGATAATTATGTAAGATTCAGAGAACGTAAGATAAAAATACTATATGATTGTTAACTTTATTTTTTAATATATTAATTAATTAAAATAAATGAGAAATACTTTATTACACAGGCACCTTCCACAACCATAGGAAGTCCAGTTTGTCACAATTGCACAGCTCAAAAAGCCCGTGGCTCAATATATATGCTTATAGAGAGCATGAAATATAAAGTAAACATCAGCCTTTAGCAAATGGCAGTGGTAGATTCAAGCTAAGACAGATCGACAATTTAAGATACTGAAAACCCTGAAAAACAATCACATGAAATCAAAGAGTTCGCCCTTGCCTTAGAGTGTCGCCCAACCCCAATAGTGAAAAATTCCCGATATATAATTATTTAGATTACTGAAATGTCCCCGTCTTATGCTAGTTTGGTTCACTGCATGGAAGTGAACGGTTTCTTTTGCTAGGGGTTGAGGCAAACACGCTGGTATTGCTAAAATCACCGGTATCGTGCGTGTAGTACCCAAAATCAGATTCTCCCAATTTGTTTTGGCCAATCGTTCCTCTACTTTTCATGGAAACATCGCTCACTTGGAAGCCATTGTCTCCATTTCCATTTTCTTCGATTTTAAAGCTATCGCTCAGTCTTTTTCTTTGCCCTGAATAGAGAAGAATACAGTTATTCGGGGCAACAACCTGCATATATTGAGCCCCCTACCTTTTCCTACATATAGTTTGGAATGGGGGGTGCTGGAATTGGACAAATCCATTGCAATTGCGTCTGAATTCAAACTGGGTGAAACTATAGAAATGTGTTTGTATTCCATACTCCAATTAGCACTGGTGTCCGGAAGATCCGAGCCAGACGAACCTACTGCTCCATCTAAACGTAAAAATGCACGCCACTTCAATAAGAGTTAAGTCTAACCCCAAGAAAATCCCTTACCAACTTGATAACAGGTTTTGTCCAAGTTTTCTTCATTATCCATGTCTGGCACAATTAAACTTGTATCGACACTCATTCGCTCTTCACCTGGCGAACCAAATAAGTGAAGTGGTTTCCTAGGTGGGGTTTTCGATATGGGCGACAATTTACAGTCTTCAAAATTTAAATTATCGAACGCAGTGTCTGGTTCTTTTGAGCAGGGTGAATATTGAACAGACAATTGTCCTGTGGGGACAAATAAGGTAATGGATGATAAAACCGCAACTATTGCAACATACCTAAAGAAGTAGGTGGTGATGACACTAAGGATTCCACCCCATTCGGCGATTCTGGGCAGCAACTGGGCTTAAACTCAAACAGTTGCTGATAAAGCGCATCATTTGTATACTCATCATCATCAACTTGGTGCTGATCGTCACTGCATATAAAATATGGCCTTAAGGCATCTTCCACTTCCTTAGGGAGTATGGGGGGCAACGTTAAAACAGTCTGAGTAGCACCTGAAGCAACAAAAACCCTAATCAGTATTCATCCCAAGAATTCTTCCCAGTCTAGAAAATTACCTTCGCGTGTTTGTTTCTTGGGCACATTTTCTTCAACAGTCTCATCAAGGTTTTCCTTCGGAAAATCGCAGTCTTTCAATAGAGGAACATAGTTGGCCTTTAAATTCATTGGGCTAGGAGCAATTTGGGACTCCCTGAAGAACATGTCAATTTTTTTCTGCACGACAACCTCTGTTTTGGAGTCTTCAGTACACGCATGCAGGCTTACAGTCGTTTCATCAATTTCAGCCGGTTGCAACGACGAAATTTCGTCGATTGTCCATTTAAATTTTGCTTCAGTCTTGGGTGTTGAGTTTTGCATGAAGACGCTCGGACTATACAATGTTTTGCACGGTGATTATTCATTCAAAAATATTGAATACATATTTAAGATTTACTTCGAAGGGGTACATACCTAAATGTTGGTAAATGCAGTCGATCCACCATTTGGGGCTCAAATGGGTTCAGGATCCTAGAAAATCTGGATGGTGGCGTGGAAAAGCAGGGGATCGATCGGAAGGGGCTATCTGTGACCACACCTTGCGATAATTTCTTCCGTAGGAAACTAACTTTGGACTTGGGAGTTATATGTTTGTCCCCCAATTGCTTAAAATCCATTTAGAAATTATTCTTGGGGATTTTATGAATGAAAACACTTTTTTGAATCAGCTCAACTTCTCACGCTAAACCACCACCACTTAATCAAAAATACAAAATTGGAATTTGTCACTCTTTTTCAGTCTGGGACCGTTAATACCTAAATAGCTCAACCAGGGGCCCTAATGTCTGTTTTTTCAAAATGTTGACCGTTTGGATCTTGACAGTGACATGCGACTAATAAGAATTGGATTTTCTCTAGTAAACCACTCTTTTATCTCTGTTACATCGCCCAAGTTAGAGTATGATAGAGCCTGATCAGAATTCTTAGACTTCTAACTCACTGTCACTGGGGCCAATCACTCTAACCTCCAAATTAAAGCGGGTAGTTTACAAGTCAAATTGTTTTTGCTTAATTACAATGGATAGTGCTCCAAAAAGGGGTAGAGGCCGGGGCAGAGGCGGCCGAGGGAGAGGCCGTGGGCGCGGCAGAGGACGAGGAAGAGGCAAGAAAGCGGCGAAGGTAATTGAGAGTGATGAAGAGCTGGATACTTCTTCATCACAGCCGGAAGCTGCAGAAGAGCCCCAACCTGAACCTGAAGCTGCCTTGACTAGCGCCCCACCACCAAGTAATCAATTTAGTCAGTAGTTCAGTGCCTGAACTGATGAATCTACTTTAACTTCGTTGCAGTTGATCTAGAAGCTGATATCTCCCAGCTGGAAGCCCCCACTTTCACCACAATCAACAGGGGCCCACCCGAGCCGATGCTAAGACTGAATTGGGACCATAAAGTCAATCTGATGGGGGAGAAAGTCACAAACCCCATGATTCATTGCTGCGATAAATGTTTAAAACCAATCTTAATCTATGGTCGAATGGTAATTTATGTTTTTTTTCAACTTCCAACGGTGCCACCCCATCGGCACTGCAAACCCCATGCTATGAAACGTCTAACTACCGCAATTTTTAGATTGCTTGCAAACATGTATTCTGCTTGGCTTGTGGGAAAAAGGAGCACCAGCAGTGTCCTCGATGCTTGGAAAAAGTGTCGCGTGTTGAACAGACCGGACTTGGGACCGTATTTATGTGTACGCACGGAGGTAGCCGCTATGGTTCTACTGGTTGCAGACGGACTTATCTCTCCCAAAGGGATCTTCAGGCCCATATAAATCATCGGCATGTTTCAACAGGACAACTGCAGCAAGGAAATGCCTCAACACAGTCAATGGAGGTGATGGCGTTTTTATTCGTAGTAGTACAGTTTATAACTGATCTTTTGCAGGGGATAATGGGGGAACCCGAGAGGCCGTCCATGAGGGCAAAGGCTAGTTTGGTGAACGACCCACGTAGTTCGCTGCAGCCTTCAGGACGACGTTCCACTCAAATACAGTCATCGGGAATTCGGACGAATCTCATTACTGTGCCCATTCAAGAGACCGCGCCTTCGGTTGTTCATGAGCAAATACCCACCACTCAGAACTACTACACTCAATATCAGCAGCAATCCAACAATATGGCTCCAACTAACTATGGCCAGCCCCTTCCGCCTATGCATTTGCCTCCACCGCAGCCTCAAAATCAGTACTATGGCGGGACCTCTTACAGTCCTGCTTCTGCAGCCTATCCAGGATATGCAGCCGCGCCTGCGGCTCAGACTCAGCCCCAGTATGTTACTCCGACAGTTCCGGGAACTACTAGAGTTGCTCAGCAGTACGATTACAATGCAGCGAACACTCAGTGGCCGAACAATCAACAGTACTATAGGTAGTGGTTGTAAGTGGTTCCAGTCAGTTTTGTTTAGGGGATATTTATGTTTATATACAGAGCTCCATTTGTTGTAAGTATAAGCCTGTAAGCCGGCAAAGTCAATAATGTTTCCATTGTGGTGTTAGTTCAAAACTAGTTTACTAGATTTTTTCTAAGACTAACTGACTGTTCTGGGTGCTAAATATAACACAGCCGCATTCTGTCTGGAACATTTTTTACAAAAAAATGAGAAAGAGAAACTGTTACGTTAGTTCCAAATACATATTTGGTATATTTTATAGACTTTGTGTTCTTTGTCCGTTGCGCTTATAGCGTGCACTTAAGATAAACTGATACTGCACTTTGGCCTTTTGCGATAAATTGTACTATATCCGTCTCGTTATTAGTTAGAAGTCTAATGGCATTTGAAGTCAAGAGTAATAAACGGAAAATGTTTACTATTTACCATTGTGTATTTGATGATTTTGTATTTAAACTTGCAATCTGCAAGGCCCCAAAACGTGTGTAAATGATTAAATCAGTGGGAATTGAGAGAGCTTAACTTAAATTGCGGAATTACATGTGATTTGTTATTTGTTGTTTGCTTGAAAACATCGGATAAGTACTAGCAATATTTCCAACAATTGTAAAAAATTCGTTAACTCAATTATAAAGCTATGAAGATACGCACCTGCTTAATCATAGAAATGCTCAGCTGATTTATGCAGACTAGTAATTTATTCGGATTTCTGAAATCTTTATACCTTGGCCAATTTCGGATACGTTTTTACGATCCTTATCTGCGGTTTCAGTATACTTACGGTTCAAATTCCTTAACTTTTATTATCACTATTTTTTCCCACCATATAAATACATATTTGTTTTAACGCTTTATAGATGAATCTAGGTTTATATGTTACGAAAAACCAACAAATGCCGTAATCTATTGTTACTTGCATTTATTCCAGGAGTCTCAAGTATCTTATATCATTTACGCTCGACTTTGCGTAACATAATTTACAATGAAACAGTGGTTCGAAAGTCTATATAATTGCACATTTAAAGGAATTTTCAACGGGGCATTTTCCTCCTCTCGTTAAATCGGGAATCAATGTGCCAGTCTCGTTTTGCACTTTTTTCTTCGCTTATAGAGTTTATTTTTTGTGCTATAATTATGCGTTTCACTAAATTTCAGTCAGAAAATTTGAATAAAAACGCCGTTTCTGATGATGAGTTTCGAACGTAATTATGAAAAATCTTTGTTTTCTAAATCGAGAGAATAATGCAGACACTAAGGTGAAGGTTCCCAAATTTCTGGACATTTTGGCGATCAGGAGTTTTTGAAGAACTCGCATAACTCTAATGGACGATTTCTATACTAACTATAACTCTAATAGAAAATTCATTTTTCAATATTTTAATACTTACCGACTTAGAACTTCTTCCATAATGCCTTATAATTGAGTTGTTTGCATAAAAAATTGGAGGCTTTTAACTTTTTCTTCATTTTCATGTGAATATACCCGAAGAACTTTTTTGCTTAGATCCCACTAGTTTATGCAACACACTGTATATGTAATAACACGCAATTAGCGAGTGTTTTAGTAATTTAAAAGATATATATTCCAATAGCGTTGGTTTTGCGGTTGAATAGACTTATTTTGTCCTTAAGATCTACGCGACTCGAAAAAATTTAAATAGAAATTTAAAAATACTGTTCTTGTACTACTTGTACTAATTTTCAACTTAGTCAAAATCCGAAATTCAGCTACTTTAGGGCAAAATGGAAATTTCTGATGAAAAGCACCAGCAACCAAGTAATAATTCGGCTTAGACTAATATTTGTTATTTATTTATTACTTGCAACAGTCAGTTTCCCAACATCTTTATCTGTTTAATAACAGCAAATAAATTGAAAGTTTCGGGTTTTTTCAATAGTAAAATGTGCATATTTTTTTCTCTTATTCAACGCGAAAACTCACATAGATTGACGAAAAAAGATCGCATTCTAAATCAATTTTGGCAAATGCGTAAATTCAACAATTTCTGTACGGTCTTTTTTTACTTAATGCAATAAACTGTGTAATTTTTTTGATATTCTTCAAAATCATCTTTTTTTTCACGTGAAAACGCCGCAAGTCACTGGAACAACGAATTGCAACCGGATGAATATTTAACGCATTTTTACTTGGTTAAATAGCAATTATTCAAAAAGATTAATTGGTAAAGTTGGTCCAATGATTTAAACTCATTCAGAACCGGATCTCACTTTGCCAGAATTTTTTTAGAAATTAAGTCCAGATCTAAAATGTTTTGCAACTGAACTGACGAATCGAAATTGCTGCAGTTACGAGCAATCATTTCGACCAATTTCCTCACATTTAATTGAAGAATAGAGGTACAGGTCCTCATTTTTACTACACTGAACAGAATAAGCGTTTCAGTTTTCCTTGAAAATGTTCAAAATTATCTGTTTCTGCACATGAATGGCTTGCCGTTAAGTCTTCGAACAAAAAATTCGATTTCTATTGGATGGATATTTACCGCACGTTTGTCTAATAGTGCGTAATTGGTTGAATTGCAATTGAAAGAGATGAATTGGTAGTTTCGAGATCACCATCGGATCTCACTTCGCCATACTTTTCCTTTAGGGGAGATTGCAAGAAAATGCATGCAGAAATTTATATAAACCAACGGTTACGCGAATAATTCCTAGTAGTTTCGGTAAAATTTATCTGTTTCTACCTTCATTTTAATGATTAGTAAGACCAAAGGGAGCTTTTTATTGCGATCCGCCGCTGGCCCAAATTTCCAAAATTCGCATTCAAATTAGCACCTATAGATCATAAAGAAAGCATCCTGAATATTGGTAAAATGGATACTCAACTTCAGTTCTTTATCTCAAGTAGTTTCTCAAATATTGACAAAATACATAGAAAAATTAACACCATAAATGTTTTATCAATTTTACGCTATACCAATCTGCCGATGAATTATCCAGTTAGGGGACTGAGTTAACTTAGAAATTAGTATTCTCTAGACATCCGAGCTGTGCGTCCACTGCATAATTATCATTATTCCCGCATCTGTTTGTTTAACGCATTTAAAAATTACAGCATAAATTCGGCGATAGCGACGCAAGTACGCAAATTATCAATTCTGAGCTTTATTAATCTAAGCCTTGATTTTGAAAAGGATTTTTTTTATTTTGCTGCCATTATCAATATAGAACTTCATGGCTAAACTACGTAGTCTCAACGATCTGTCGGAGACGGAAGCGCAACGTGAGATTGCATCAACTGATGCTGTTCTGTTTGATGTGGATGGTAAGTGGGTTTTTTTTCAGTTGGCCATAAAAACCTCTTATTGAATACAAACCATCGATGCAGGAGTTTTGCTGTCCGATAAAGCAGTGCTTCCTGGAGCCGAAGCTGCAGTGCAAAAGTTGAGGGCTTTGGGCAAACAGATTGGATTTGTCACCAACAACACCTTGTACACACTGGAAAAAATACAGGCCAATTTGGCTCAATTTAGTGCACAATTTGACGAAGTAATAAACCCGACGGCTGCCTTGTTGGAATATCTGCGAAAAATCGACTTCCAAAAGGACATTTATATGATTTCCACATCCGAACCTAAGCGACTAGTACGGGCAGCTGGATACAATGTTTTAGAATTCAAGGTAAATCTCACAAGGCCTCAATTGAGACCATATTGGCTTAGTTTTATTTAATCTTTTAATTAGGATATCCTACCTGAAAAAATTGAGCCTACTTTGGGAGCAGTTTACGAAGCCCAGGAACTATCTTTGCAGAGATGTAAAAATGTTGGTCTGGTGTATTTGGATTATGACATGAATTGTGGATATGGAGATATACAATGCGCCTTAAATATTATTAAGCGCATTGATGGCGTCCAAGTATTGAGTGGCCTAAATGATGATGAGGTTCCTGGGCCCAATGGTGCCTTAATAGGTATTGTATATAGTGTTTTACAAAAGGGTAAATTAAAAAATGATCTTAGAAAGGTACTGAAAATTGCATACAAGTTTGCGTTCGCGTTTTCTGTTCTTTTATGGTTTCAACTGAACTGTATATTTCCTAACTCAAGAAAACTTTCTTATCCATCTCTAACAGAATGTGTCCTGTAGGGGGTCATACATTTTCCTGAAAAAGTCCCTAACTTTTGGCTGTTTGGACACGTTCTTTCAGCAAAATTGATAAATGTTGAGACGAATTCGTTGTTCGTTAAAGGAAACGTTTTCAATCACTGATTGATTGTCCACTTCATTTACTGAAAACTGCTTGAATTCGAGGTAACAAATCAGCAATAGAAGCGTTTGTGTTACTGATAATTCACTATTAAGTAGCGCGGGTTTCGACCAAAAAATTACACAACTTCAGAGTTGGTAAGTTTCAACTTTGTACAAAATCACTTTCAGGGCTGAAAACTCTGGCTTTCATCTTCAAGACTAAAAACTATAATCGTTAGGCCTTGAAGATAACGTAGAACAAGGTGAAAACGTTATCAATATCCCAAAAATAGATTTTGTGTATGTTTCTGTCCGTATTCCACTACTTGCTAGTGTCTAATCTCAATCTTCTTCAGACCAGATTTGTCATAAATGTTCAACCGAAATAGTGCCTTTATAATTTTTTTTATTGTTCTTTAAGTGTATTAATTTGCTGACATACTCAACTAAGGACGTCTTCAAGCAGTTTTTCTTTTGGTTGATTCTTCCATAGAAACTATTTCAAAGCACCAGTCGACATTTCCAATTTTTCCCACGCACTTTTGTCTTCTAAATTTCAACTTATTTTAGCTGCGAATTGAATTGTAATAATGTACCTTTTATTTATTTACACTTTATTTGCCAATAAATATGTCAGTGATAAAGACAATTCAAACCTCTTAATAACACTTATCTGATTTTTCAACAATTGTCCTCTTTGGAACGATAATTTCATGTTTGCAGGAGGATTAAAATTGATGCAACATTTTTGGAATTTCCGAAACCGTGCAACTTTTATGGCTGATTTAAGCGCAAAA